TAAAATTTTGTTTGAATTATTAATCATAATTATCTTTCTCAATAATTAACAGTATGGGTATTATTGATTAAGCCAATGTATTTTCGCGCTTCAGTGGATAAATTTATCTTTTATGTGCTGTCACTTTTGCATCACTGACTGTTATTAATTTTGTGTTCAAGACCAAGAGCTATGAAGTTTGAGTTACCTAATATCTTTGTTCAATATTTAACGGTATGGTTATTATTGATTAAGCAAATGTATTTTTACGCTTCAGTGAATAAATATAGCTTTCTGTGCTGTCAGTTATGCATGGCTGACTAGTATTTATTGTGCAAGTGGACATGTATAGTACAGTGTAAGGATTTTGTAGCAAGGGTAAAGATTACTATTATTTCAAGTCGACCTTTAATGTTCAATCTTTACCTCAGATAATCAGGTGAAATCGCGGCCGCACCTTTACCATTGACTTTTTAGTAGTTGACGTATCGTAATTCGAGTTCAAAACTCAAAAAAAAAAAGTTGCTAAACCAAGGGACTGACTTTTACGCGCCTATACACTCAAACGAAATGACAATATGCTTACTGGCTTCCAACAGCTACAACTAAGATCTCATGATAAGAGCATGTATGCTATGACAGTATAATGGGTGTGTTTATAATATGACAGCAATAACAGATATAACGCCCTTTCAATCTTGCAACCTTGGACCAACCCTAATTATAGAGAATAATCTATAAGCAAAGTTAGAGGCTACCATTCAAGGGCCTAGACCAGGGGTGGGCAGGGTTTTTAAACCAGGGGCCAAAAATTTTGCTCACTAAGACTGGTGGGCCATGTAAGTGTGACGTAAAAGTTACATTTTATGAACAATATTTACAGTGTTAAAAAGCAAAGGTGGAAAACAATAAGCCTCGTGCCAAAATTAGGTAAATTTAACTGCAATTTCAACAAATTCCTTGAGCTATTTTAGCTGAAACATCAAAATTTGATTTCAGTTTGGTTGTGGCAGCATCAGATGGGCCAGATTGAATTATCCAATGAGCTGGATTTAGCCTGCGGGCCATACTTTGCCCATGCCTGGCCCAGACATAATATGCAGTTTGAGTTATTAGGATCAGGAAAATATCTTCAATATGCAAATATAGTGACGTAAATATTGACCTGAGATCTTCGTGAAAAGAATTAATCCGTATTTATAATAACTCCCTGCTTTATGACTCACATCAATGTGATGCAACACTATAAATTTGATGTTGCGGGTCAGAACTGAACTCCCCTTATTTGAAATGTCAAATTACATTTTTTGATACTCCTGTAGTATGTGTACTAGGAAAGGGTTAGGCCATAATTTTATTACGGTTTTCTCTATTTTAGTTCTATTTCGAGTTGGGGGACTGTCTGTCTTAGGCAAGTGAATATACCCCCTGCCCATAGATTTCAGTCCCTTTACACAAATTGATGTAAAGTGGGCGAACAAAATTAATTACCTCCATGTTGGTACACATACTTCTGGAGCGCCCATTTTTCTGTATTTTACATAGTAATTTTCTAATAGCTTGAAACATGTTTCAGACCCTCGTATCTCTTGAAAACACACTTTTTCCGACCTTTGACCTGACCCGCTAGCTGTTGTGGTCTAACTTGTCAATTAGAAATTTCAACCCCCTCCCCCTCCCCCCCTTTCGAAAATTACTGGCTACGCCTTGGTTTTAACTTATAAGCAAATAGTCTTATAATTTCAAGTCCAGTGAAATCCTTAAAAAATAGGATTATGTCGTCTCTCATTAAAATCAATAATATTGATCTGTAGGTTCTGCATTACAGCTTATCACCAGACAGTATAGAAATAGCCTGGTTTAATAGCTAAGATTGGAATACACCACTTTGTCTGAAAATGGCAAAGATTAGAGAAAAAGAGAGCAATGCTCAAATATACAGGCGTACGGGTTCGGTACCATTACACTGATGTTTTAAGAGCACTGGGTTAGGTGAAAATATTTGGTAAGCGTGATGAAATAAAGAAGTGTTCCTTTAAATAGAACAAAACAGCAAATTTAGATGAAATATCTGACTTTATAGGTACTTAAAAAATATAAATGTACTAACCTAATTGATGGACAAGAGTAATAAAATAAAAAAATATTCCCTTTGGTTGAAATAATATAACAAAATCGGTCCTCCTGAAGTATGCGCATCAAGATGTCGCACAACCTGAACCCTAACCTTGTACACAACCTGAGTTCAGGTTGTGCGCCATCTTGGTGCGCATACTTCAGGAGGTCCAAAAAATCTTTGGTGAAATATAGAGTTCCAAATTAGAGTAGATTTGAAAAAATTGAAGTAATTGCCTTCTTTCTGGCTGCTTCTTTTATCTTTCTTAATCAAGCACTGAAAATTTGAAGTTGATTGATTCATTAGTTGAGGAGAATAGTGACTTTCACAACAACAACAATAATTCAACAAGGTTCTAGCTTATCACCAGACAGTATAGAAATAGCCTGGTTTAATAGCCAAGATAGGAACACACCACTTTGTTTTAGAAAAATGGAAAAATTAGCGATGGATATACAACTACAATATATGGGGGTACAGGTTCAGTTCCAATACACTACAGTCTTAAGAGCCCCAGGTTAGAGGGTTATTGTAGAAAATATTTGATAAGCGTGACAAAATAAAAAATGTGTTTTCTTTTATTAAAATAAAACAGCAAAATCCTTGAAATATTGAGTTCCAAATTAGAGTAGATTGAAAAAGTTAAAGTAATAGCCTTCTTTCTGGCTGCTTCTTTTATCTTTCTTAATTAAGCACTGAAAATTTGAAGTTGATTGATCCGTTAGTTGAGGAGAAAAGGGATTTTCACAACAGCAACAAGAATTCAACAAGGTTATAGCTCAGACATGGGCAAAGTATGGCCGGTGGACCAAACACTGCCTGTTGGGTAATTCAATCTGACCCGCCTGATGCTGTCAAAACCATGATGATTTTAGCTAAAAAATAGCTTAAGGAATTTGTTGAGATTGCGGTTAAATTTAGTTTTGACACAAGGCTTATTGTTTTCCACCTTTGCTTCGTAACACTGTAAATATCGTTCTTAAATTGTTACTTTTTACAGCATACTTTCATGGCCCGCCAGTCTAGGTGAGCAAAAATTGTGTGCCTTGGTTTAACCCCCCCCCCCCCCCCTGTTCTAGCTTATCTCCAGACAGATAGAAATAGTCAAAATAGGAATACGTCATTTTGCCTGAGAAAAATTAGAAGATCAGAGATAAATAAGAGAGCAGTGTTCATATGGGCATGTAAGTAGCGCATCGGTGCCGGTACAGTAAGTTGTAGAGCGCCAAGTTAAGGTAAAAGGGATTGATGGATAACTGAGTGTTCCCTTCAATTAAAATGAAAAAGCTAAATTGTTGATAGAATAGCAGGTCTATAAGAACTCTTGTATTTGAAATAATTATCAGGCTTTAGCAGGCAAGAGAGTCTGATTCAATTGTAAATTTGTTCACACCCACAGTCCTAGCTAAAACTCAAGAAGTAGGTGAGGGCGCTCGTTCAATTGGAGATATTCCCTGTTGGTGGGAATACAAGGATTAATTATTTAAACTTGTAATTATCTAATCCATTTTCTCTTGTTTGATAGACATGTGTGGTATGTAATGTAGGTCTGCATAATTTATTATGTCTGTTAAGACTGGTTCATATGAACTCTTTAATATTCTAGAATTTTCTTGGTATTTCAGTAATTGTTCGCAACTTAACTTTATAGAAGAGAGTGCAAGTGGCATATTCTGAATCAGTGATTCTGAATCGGTGGCGCGCACCCCACAAGGGGGGCGTAGACAGGTGTGAAGCTAATAAAAATATGGTAGATGTTATTAAATTTGATCTTGTCCGCCTTTTTTTGGATATTTACATTTCTTTATTCCAGATATTTAAGTTTCAACCACGTATTTTCAACGTGTTTTTTAAATAAAACATACTTTCGCCTTACTATCTGTTATTTGTAGCTTATTGTTAGCTAGTTATTGTCCAATATTTTGAAATCGCAATAGATCATTTGAGGCTTTGAAAGTCTTATAATATTTAGATTTCAGTCCTTAATAAAGTTGCAATTTTATTTAGTTTCGTTATGTCAAACTATTTTATTCATTACATGCAAGAGTACTCCAGGAAATGATTACATTTCCTTTAATACACAGTTTCATTTTAAAGAGCTCTGTATGCTCAATCATGCACGATCTGTGGAAAATTTATGCATTTCAGCTCTGCATACTTGCAGTCCATGGTTGATCAAGTGTGAAATTCTTTTTCATCTAACTTGCAAATATGTGAATGATGCACTCTTGATAGAGTTTAATTTGGTATAATTCGCTGATGTCGGCATTTTTTTCGTTTAAAGTTATTTGTTTCATTATTTCTATTCTAGCCTTTGTCATAGGTGCATGAAGTAAAGGTATCATTTATAATGCTGAAAAGGGGGCCAGCTTTATGACACTGCAACCTAGCAGTGGGACATGCTTCTATAGGCCTCGCACTGATTTAAGGTGTATATTATACCCATGTTTGTTTATTCTATATAAGCAAGACTTGTAAAGTAAAGTTGCTTTAATTGTGATTTTGTAAGTTTAAAAAGTAAAAGGGTAATGAACACTACCGTAATTCATTTCAAATTAACGAAATAAATATTCAATTTTGTCTTTTATTTTGTTCTTAGGTATAAGTAATAAAATGTGAAGTCTTAATTTTATTCCAGGGGGAGAGGAAAACAGATAAGACGGCGTAATCATATGACAAATCCCTTCAATCCGGTTACCAGTGGGGTATGTGATTAGTTAGCCAGTAATTTCGGAAACATGGATTTGATGGTTGAGGAAGCTGTGTACCACCCTACACAGGGTAATCAGAGGTGTGGTGGCGAGCATATTCCTAACGCTTAGCACAATGCTGCACACCACCGAGCCATCATATTGAATTAAACATTTTATTCTCTCTAATTCAACCATTTTTTATTTCATTTTAGATTTTAATATAGACATATTTTAGTTGTATTGAATATAGTATAATCTTAAAAACTACGGATTGCAAAGGGAAGAAAAAGACTGGCCATACTCTTGCCCCTACATGCTTCCCTGTCGCTGCTCCCAGACTACATTTTCTTCTGTTGCGAATAGAGAGGTAAGAGATATTTATTCGATATCCGCTCTAGGAGACTCTTATTCTCAGTAGCTCTGTCTGTCTGTTTATATGTAGCGTCTAAACGGATAACAGGCTTGCAAATCCGCGCCCGAAAACGAGAGTCTAGGCATACTCTCGTCGACCTCCTAACGGAATTCGAATGATTCAATGACGTCATAGTGACGTCACATATACTCCCGTCCCAGGAAAATGTTGCACGAGTCAATGTGTCTAATTATATCTACGCACACACTATCTACACACCTACTTTCGCTCGATAAACACTACTCCGTCGGTACCCTCGTTCTGCGATATTGCTACTTGCGAGCGTCTCATTAAATACTAATCAAGATAGCTGCGTGCTCTGCGACGCCGTTTTCCCCGCACGACGTAAATGACCTAATTATATATCGGGGTAATCAACCATTTTGCTATTTTGCAGGTTTTGCTGCAAACTGTGGACTGTGAATAACTCTCAACAAGTTACCCTACAAAGAAAATAATAACTCAAGTTTTGCAAAATTAAGGGAGGAACTTTAATAAACGGCAGTCGCCGTTGCCATCGCCTTTTTTTTTTTTTTTTTTTAATAAACAAAACCATTCATGCAGTCTGACATTTGCCGTACAAACTGAAATCTATAAAATAAGTTCGCATGTAGCAGATGAGTTCATGCAAAATAAACATCGCACAGAAAGAACGAAATTGAATATTAAACGCTAATCGCCGCCCGTCGACTTCGCATCATTTAAAATGTATAAAAAGAAAGGTTAGAAATTGTGTCGACGAACAAAGAAATGCGTGAGACGCTTTCAGGTTCACATATCACAGTTTTAGTCTTCTTCCGACGAGCTATCGTCGATGTTCATTAGTTGAGGCTGTACCAAGCTGGGCTTTGCCGTTTCCAACCCCCCTAAAATTGAATTTATACGTCGTTTCACGAGACCTCGTTCAGACGTCCCATCGCTTCCCATAAATCTGGCGGAAGCCTTGTTGACCAGATTTTCTCGAATGGCCCCGTCTTCGAACTGTTCTTTTCGCGTGGCAATTAATAGAAGATCTTTTATCATATTGTGACCGAGATGTGATCGCCAATCAGTGAGAATTCGCCGTAAACAACTGAACCCTCTTTCGACAACAGCATTTGAGAATGGTAAGCAAAGCACTAACTCGACAAGGATCAACAAATTTTTATACGCCTCCTTCTTTCGCTGGTGCAACTTGTGCCAAAAATCGGTAGTGCTCAAATCTTTGTAAACCTCATTTCCCTGGACGTCATACTTCAAATCATCCCATTCTTTCAAGCATGCACCCCTCCCGCACCCAGCTGCGTGTAGAGGTACTTTGAAGTAGTCAAAGACTTGTGAAAGATCTTGATTGCCATATTCAGGGACGGACGCATTAATCCCGCCATCCGACATCAAGATTTCAGGGTTCAGCCATGATAACTTACTCAAAATGTTTTCTTGTTCTTCTATTTCTGTAAATCGCTCGTCCAGGCAATCACGCAGATTTCTTATGCATTGCGATCTTGTTGTTTGGGATCTCTGGATGATGGTTTCCTCTGCAGAATGAAAAACCACGCTTTCCTCGTGTTCCAGGAGTCTGGCGGTCGGCGTTTCACGCCTTTTACAAGTAATGCGTATTGCCTTCGTTTGTCCACCATCTTCGTGTCTGGTAAAACGGAACGGAAGCGGAGTGCAATTTAGGTCGCCCCTGTCATAAGCATCGAGCGCTTCTCGCTCTGCAGGACCGCCGCGAAGTTCCATAGAAGTTAATTTCATTTTCAACCGTTTTATCTGCTTGGTAGCGTCAATAATGGATGACCCGTCATGATCTGATTGTATTGCGATTGACGTGGCAGATACCCAATTTACGATATCCTCGTATTGGCGACATAGGATATAGAACTTGAAGCTGTGAAGATTAACAAGAAATTTCTCAGCCTTCATATCTGACTCAGCCTCCCTCTGGTTAGTGAAATGATGTATGTAAACAATCCAATTTGTTTTTAGCGCATGGAGTGCGTTGAGTGTGTGTGCCACAAATCTTGTGCCTTGCGACTTTGGTACACTAACAACCGCGGTCTGCAACTTTTCTGCCGCATTACATACGGCGGCCCATTCTTTAGGGCTATTCCGAAAATGATAATATATGTCAATAAGGAAGTCAATAACTTGTTTGAAATGGGAGGTCAATGCGTCTTTCGATGCTAGTTCAATTCGATGTGAATAGCAATGTACTTTGATTAGCCGACCAGGGCACACGTCCTCCCATTTTTTAAGTAAACCCGTTTTACGCCCAAAGTTAACAGCAGCGCCATCGGCGCCGGCCCCGATAATTTTTGAAGAAAAAGGCTTAATAAGTTCCACAAGATTTTCAATGGGTGTCTCACAATTTGTTGTTATATCGGGAATCAGGAAACTCAACAGAGAGCGCAATGTAGCGTGGTACAAATTGTTAGCGTCCACTCGAACATATTCCTTCATTGAAATCAAGTCAATTTCGTGTACAGCTGGTTTGCATTCGTGCGCTATTCTTATGTAAATTAGTTCCGACTCGTACGATAACTTGCGCTTGGCGACTGTTGACCCATCCACCATCCAGCTAAAAAAATTTACTTTTTTGTGCACTTCATTTCTTATTGAGGACAATATCTCCTCCGCGAGAATATGTATAAAGGCTTTACAACCTTCTCTGTTACCATATGACGTGGTTATTTTGCCGCCATTGTCTGCGCACAGTTGTAATAAGTCTGCAAACGCATTGAAAGGCAGTTCCTTCCTAGAGACATACAGTGCAGTACGAACAAGAGGTTTTATGGCGTTCTCCGCCCTCTGTTTTTGGCAGCCCCATAAGCGAGCGATACTTGTTTGCGTCGGGAGCTTCCCATTCTCAATTTCGACACACTTTAAGTGGCCCTCGGAATTGAGGTGTCGTTCTAAATTATATCTTAAAATCCAGTTGGTGCCATTCTCCCCGTAAGTCGTCACATCATTAACAACTTTGCCTCCATAGCCGCGCTGTATTCTGTCACAATGTTTTTTGCATACAATGCATGCTGCATGTACGACTTTGGTATTATCTTCGTTGAAACCGAACGTAAAACTGTCCTTTAATCTGTTTGGCCAAAACTTCCAGGCCGCTACAGAGACGGACCTTGATTTTTCCTCCATTTACTCTAATCATACAATTTATAATATCTCCTGTGGTATTTTTAAACAAACAAAAAAACGGTGTTACGCAAAGATACCCTTTATACCGGTAATTTACAACAAAACAGCCGTTAATATAACTAATTAATTACACTAGCCCTAGTCTTACCGACATCTCATCTTTGTTAGTCTGCAACACTTCTATTAAATTCATAATACGCATTCGCAGTCTGCCTTATTACAAGGGAACATTCTGCATTCGCCAACGCCAAGTCGTCCGGAGGCGTGCCCGTGCTTGATTCCTCGCTTTTCGCTGTAATGTACTATTGTGACATCATAAACCATCGCCCGCAAACGATTTTACGTCACTAAAGAATAAAGAGAGAGAGGCGGCGGAAAAAATCGCCTCGGACTCTCGTGTACTGCTGGACGCGAGTAATGACGTTTTTTACGGGAGTAATAGCTAGACTCGGGTAGGGCAAAATACGCGAGTCTAGACTAGAGTATGACTCGCGTACTCGCGTAGATTTGCAAGCCTGGGATAATCAATCTGGATGAAAATTTCCACATGGGTTATTCTGTCACCTTAGTAACGTGCGTTTCATGGAATGTCCCGATTGAGGTTTCATTTCCATGGTTGCAACGCAAAAATCGTGCTGGTCATTTTTCAATTTTTTCACAATTCATTGCCGCTTCCTCATCAATTTCCAAGAAAGCTACCTCCTGCGGGAAAAACTACTCTTTCGGACAAGTGTTGTTTGTTTCGATACTATGTAAACTGAGGAAGCTAGGGATTTTAGTGAACATTATTTTTCAATTAAGGGTCGATACAGCTTTTTGTCCGGTTACCAGGTCATGTCGAGTATGGGATTAGTTATCCAGTTATTTGTCCTCGAAGCATGGATTTTATGGTGGAGGAAGCCATAACTGACTTAAGTGAACCACCCTACGGCGGTTGGGAATCCAGCAATCATCTTGCACATAAGAGTTGCTGCCCTAGCACTTAGCACGACGTGCCATAATGGGCATCTACTAATTTTACGTTTATAAAGTTATCACCTGATCACATGTGTGATTTCTAATATTCACAGGTTTGCGGCCATGAGCTCCCCAACGAATATTCAGCAGATGAGAGCGTGCGTGGAACAACTAAAGCATGAATCGAATATAACAAGGATACCTGTAAGTGTTCGGCCTGTCCATTTTTTGTTTGATAATGCCAGAACATTTTTAAAATATAAAATTCAGCTGAATAATGGTAAATGCATTGATAAAAATGAATGGGCCCATAAACAAAATACTTTTATTAGTGAGTAATAATTATATTAGTGGGGGGAGGTCCAAAAATTTTACACCACGCTCTGAGCTAAGTCGCAGTTTCTAGCGTGACAAAAGTTTGACTCTTAACCGCAGTGATAACTTAACCTAAAATTCTGATTCAAACACCAGCTTCGAATCCCAATTCTTAATATGATTTGGAGCTTCTGTCGAGAATTTTGAAATTGATAATTATGCTTCCCGCTGCTTGTCAGCAGGGAACCTATTGTATTCCTGTGTTTTATTATTATTATTCATTTATTTTTATTATTTTTTTTTCAAATTGGTCCTACAAACTTGAAATTTACCTCAAATGTGCAGAAGTTCTCAGCTAGCAATAAAATGCAAATTTTATGCATGACTGACCACGCTTTCACGCTCCAGTGAGCAAAACGCGTCTTCAGTTTTTTTGCGATTTCTCAAAATTGATACATGCTATTGGGTTGAAATTCATAACAATGATTAATGGACATGTTCCGGATACGATATGTCAAGGATACGCATGAGTGACCTCGGTGATACGCTCCAGTGAGCAATATAGGATTTTACATTTTCATCTTCTTCTCGAGAACGACACTACTTAGAGACTTGAAATGTACATCACATGCAGATAATAAGTCCCCCATCATAAATTGCAAATTTTATGCATGGCTGACCACGCTTTCACGCTCCAGTGAGCAAAACGCGTCTTCAGTTTTTTTTTACGCGGGAAGCCTGTTAAAGCTGCACGCAGCTCTAGTTATCATTGGAAATCTGGAATTTTGAGATTGCAACCTCAACTTCGAATCTAGTAGTAATAAAGAAATGTAGAACCCAATGTTGACACTATCTGTTCCCAGGTCTGCAGCGGGATTTTGGCAATATTTTATTAATATTAAGGTCAGAGTGTCATATTTTGAAACTCTCTGTAGTACAGAACTCAGAAGTTTTATTTCGTCGTGCATGAAATATTGTACGCAATTAAACAATTATAATGATAATACAAAAATCAATTGAAGACTGAAGTATACATGCATACAATATATAGCAATTGACGCGGAGCCGCGAAAGACTGCAAAAGTCATCGTGTCAACGACACCGTGTACAGAGTCTGAGCCAAAGTTCAAATTTTAAACAGTTTGATCATTATTGCAAACAGCTTATTTGATGGAAGGAAAATTCTTTTTTATTCACTTGCCATGGCGTCAAAAAGTGAAAGCTGTGAAAAAAAAACAATTTGGATAATAATTTGTTTCAATATATTCTCATTATCTTTTGGAAAGAGTACAAAATTTAAAAATTATTATTCAGCTCAATTTCACGCAATTTGTTTTAATTAAATTTTGGGAAATTATTTCTCTGTCTCTGAAAGAAATTGGATTCTTCAAATATATTTGCTCATTCTGTTTTACTCTCTATCAGTGAAAATCTCACCCATTGGTTATGACTCTTGGTTTTATATTGCTAACTAGAGCTCGACCGATATATCGGCCAACCGATATATCGGGCCGATATTGCGTGTTTGCCGATATATCATATCGGCCCAACCGGCCGATATATCTGGCCGATATATATCAGCGTTAGTCGCTTTTCCACGTTCTAAAAAATGAGTCTTTTTCCCCGGGAAATATCTGCGGCCGAGCGTTTTCTTTTTTTCGCTTCTCTCATTTTGCCTCTCAATGAACAGAGAGTTATCTTCTATATTTCTCTCTTTTATCTCTTCGTGCGGCGCAAAATCCTCGCCTTCGAATATCTTGCGTCCCCACTAGACTTGCACGTAATCGACAAAAATCAATTTTGTAATTACGGCAAAATCGATTACGTAATGACCCCGTAATTGCGATATTTTTTCACGCATTTAAACCTATCATAAAAACTATTTGAAACCACTTCTTTTCCGAATGGGACATCGAAGTTTGGTTTTCATATCACTGACAGTACTACACGCCGGCGACAGATGTTAAAGACAAATACCAAGGAGTGAATTCAAATTGTATTTATTCTTATTTTTATCTTTTGTGTTGATTTGATTATCCTTTATCACCTTCGCAAATTAACCGTCCCAATTTTATGCGATCAATTTTATCATTACCAACACTGGTATACCGATATTTATGAAACAATAGTTGCCTTTTTTTTAAATCGACTTTCGTATTAAATAAAAATGTCGGGTTTCCAAGTTATTAATCAACGACGAGCGAATTCTTTCGTTTGATTATACCTGCGCTTGCCTCGCGACGAAGACTCGTTATTGCTCCGTTTTTTACATTATCCGACTTTGCTACCTAGTTAGCATTTTGCAATAATTATTGATGCTGAATTATTGACGATATTCCGATTACCAAGCTTCATTTTATATCAAATCATTTCGCGGCCTAAATGTTATAACATTATTTGCGATAAATTTAGATCACATATTAATTATTTAGCCGGCGGTAAATTCTTACCCGTAACTCGTTGTAAATTAATGCTAATAAATTCTATTTTGTTTTTTAATGTGCTGTAATTTGTATTAATAAAAGTGATTGAGTCGGGAAAATAAAGTAGCCTTCTCTCCCGTTGCTCCATAGCGGCGGTAAAATTCGTTTCATGTCTGTTTCACGGAGAGAAAGAAAAATACGCCTTCCGGAATTACAATCAACTATCACACATTCTTATTTATCGTTATCAGCGCCGAATAAAAAAGATACCAAATCGTGAAGACAAAAAAGTCTGTCAGTGTTAATTGCGTTACGGTGAAAACGCTCATAATAATATCAATTTGATCGTGAAACCAAACGCTCAAACGGGATGGCGACTTTACGTAATTTGTAACTTCCTTTCCGTAACTCGAAATAGTTACGTAATTCCCTAAATTACGTGCAAGCCTAGTCCCCACCTACTACTGTATGGATCAAGGTGGACTTCTATAAGCTTTTTACTGATTGCCCTTTTTCTTTTGGGCTTGGTTTTTTCAAACTTTGCCTTCTGTTTTGTGCATTAATGTTTGTTCTTATTAATTGCTGTGAAACTTTTATCAATAATGCAAGCACTGTGTGGGACTGCTTTATTTTTCAACATAAACTTTTGATTGACTGAAACTGAATTTTTCTTTCTGTTTGTATTTATCGCGGGTTCAGGTTGTAGATATCGGTATGTCGATATCGGTTATCGGTCACTAGTTGGCCGATATATCGTTATCGGTATCGGTGCCAAAAAGTGATATCGGTCGAGCTCTATTGCTAACCAACATAAACGATAATGTATATTGGGAACTGCTAATGACTTTTTGATGAGTGTTTATGAATCCCCCCCCATATTTGAATCATAAATTGCTCTGATTCAAAACAATTTCATATAAATATATTTAGCCAAACGTAGAATATTTTCTTGCTGTTGATGTCATAGTTCAAAATTTCCATGTACACCGGCGGCCATCGCCTAGCCAGGGTTAGCTGAGAAAGGTTTTGTTTATTCAATAAATAGTACCGGTAACTCATTCTTTATTAATGACTCCTTTTACAGTCTTATTGGACACGTTTAGTGGCCATAACGATCGTTTCAAAATTTTGTTGTTATTGGTATTTGTCTCCGTCTCCATTTTTAAAAAATCGCTTTTCTCTTCGAATACTGGACCAATTGCTTCGATATTTTCAGTGGTTAAAGATAAAAGATCCAGAAGGCTATTACTTTTTTTTTTCGCTATGACGTCATCAAAATTATTGCCACTGGGTGGCGCTACGTGTCCATATATTTGAGCATAGCTCTCTTGTTTGGTGTGAAGATGCCTCACAAAAAAGAAACTTTGTTTGAAGATGAATGCGTATGACCTTTCTTTAAGCTACACTAATGCGGGTTGAAACACATTTTGCAGGGAAATTTTGCATAAAAATCATAAAATTTTTCATCGTTTGGAACGCTTTTTAGACCCTAAGACCTAAAGACTCTTGAAAACTCATGTTTTCCGGCTGTAGTCGCCACAATTTTCGGTTTAACTTGACAACTTGAAACACGTCTTTTGAAATGTTCAAAAAGAGGGAAACTTTGCGTATCATACATATTTTCATAGATTGGAACGCTTTTTAGACCCCAAGGCTAAAGACTCTTTGAAAAATTATGTTTTTCGACTGTAGCCGCCAGCTGATTCGACTTAACTTGGCAATTAGTAATCTCAGAACCACTCTTTGAAAATACCTGGGTTCTTCCCTGCCCGATTGCACAGCCATGTTGATAAACTTTGTTGGAAGATGAGTTATTACTTATCGATCTTAAGATCGGTAAGTATGTTGATAGGTATTTGTCTGTTTGTTTGTCTGTCTGCTAGATACAGGCGATATCTCACGAAAGCGAGGTTGAATCTGCTCCAAATTTTGCATGTGCATTCATGATAGTTCGGATCAAAAGCCTATTGATTTTCTATGAATTATGTCGTATAATTAGCGAGTTATTAATTAATTGGTGATGGGACACACGGTGTCACTATGGAGTAAGAGCGCTGTTTTGAGGGATCCCCTAACCTCTGATCGATAAGTCTTCGGTCTCTGACCGATATTCTCGTCTTTACTTTTGAGTGCGCGTGACCTTTCTTTAAGCTAAATCTCTTAGAAATAAGAAGACACCTGATTTCCTAGATTTTTTATATTTTCTATAATCCAGAGATCCAAGTCGAAATTTTTGTTAATGTGTACTGGCACTGCGAGTTATATTTAGAAACCTGAATAAAATCTCAATCCCCCCCACACAACAGCTCTGTCTGTATAGGATAAAAATTTTTTTTTTTCCACAGGTCTCACAAGCTTCGGAAAATTTGATGGCATTTTGCGAAACCAATGTTCAATATGACCCACTCGTTTGCGGAATTTCTGCGTCAGCAAATCCATTCAAAGACAAAGCCAAGTGTTCTGTTTTATAATGAGCTGTTTCATCTTTATTATTACCATAGCAACGGACTTTGAATCAAGACAGTTGCCGTAGCGACCTATTATTTTATTTTTAATATTATATTATCATCCTGACGTTTTATGATAGTTGTCTGTTGCTCAGTCTAATTAATTTTTTTTTGCCACAATTTGCTGCAGAGAGATTGCACTTCCACACTGTTAAAAATGCTTGTAACATTAACCTACATATTGCAGTGTATTCAAATTTTGCTTGAAAAAAAGGAATCTGCTACGGTATATCGAAAATAGCTATTTTTGAATGCTACCTAATACAAAATAGGCACTTCTCCACAGACTGCACTATATTTCCTAAAGCTTTATCGAATATAGCTATTTTTGAATGTCACGGAATATTTAATTCATTCATGATGTCCTTTTTCTACAATTATCTGCGCGAGGCCCAGCTCAGGGGTGTACAACCTTTAATACAGGAGGGCCAGATCCAAATAACTGGGCGAAACCGCGGGCCGCACTTTTATCTAACAGGCTTTGTAGTAGTTTTGTAGCATAAAAGTTTTGGGGCTCCCGAAAGGACTAAAATAAGGAAAATTGGAAAAAAATTATCGCCTAACCCTAACCTGTTACCCATGTTACGTTCCGATGTCCGCCATCTTGGTTCGCATACTTCGGGAGCACCAAAGTTTTAGTTATTGACCTCATGACATGTGTTGTTCGCTTCGCACAAGCAAGCTGTTTTGGCATTGTAACGTCATATAGGCATAGAGAATAAACTGGAGATACCGCCCGTACCAGATTAAACTAAATTAAAAACTCGTTTCGAGGGCTGCACACCATTTAAAATTGGCTCCTTACCGCAGGCCACACAATTCTTCCTTGTGAGCCGCATTTTGCCCCCTGGTTGTACAACCTTAGCCAAGCTGGGTGGGGCTTTAATTTAACTATTCTGGCATCATAGGTCAAAAATCTGTGGCTCAAATTCCATGTTCGTCTCTTCACTCCGGGTGGGCAAAGGCAAATTAGTGAGATTTCATCCTTTCCAAAAATTGTAACGTCTTACATACCAGTAACTGCTTGTTCTGTTCGCTCTTATCTATATTCCGAATAAAACAAACCTCAAATAATACTATAATACCATGAATAATATACTACACTCATTAGACAACGTTTGTGCTGACGCCTACGTACAGAGACTTTTTCCCCATTATAATGAAATATTTTGTAAATTGAATTTTCACTTATTTATGCTTTTGTGTATGTTACTATATACTATATCAGTAGTTGCTTGTAATTCTTCTGTCCTGAATTTTTTTTTGCTCGGCACCGGGGAGGACAAATCAGTAGTGAAGTCTCATTTCTGCTAGAACCTATTTGTATCTTTGCTTTGTTTTTAAAATTATGTTATTTTATATTATTACTCATACATCACCGTTATTTTATCTTCATTTATTACATCACAATACCCTGACAATGTCAACGATTGTTTTCAAACAAAAGTACATTCACAATAATTATAATACTGTTTTTATTTTTTTCAGAATTTTATGGTATCAGATTTGGATGTTTAAGATCTCTGTAGTACAGTTTATATTTTTGGAATAAATAATTTTGTTAGCAAATGTATTTATAATTCCACCCAAAAAATTCTTCCTTCAGAAAGTGCTGATTCTGATTTTTTAACCTAAAACGTCCATAGCCTTGTGCACACCATATATGGTAGCAGACTTGTTTTAATTCTGAATTGCTTGTGGTATTCGGGCCACAATAATATTTAATTATGCTCATCAAACACATTTTTCATGTGTGTCTGAATCTTTTTTATTCTGCTTTATTATGTAACAACGCTTGATTTTATCCTATCATCTGCACTGACATTTTGTGATGTTTTTTCTATTTTTTGGTCAGAGTTTTTGTCTGTGTGTACCTCGATAAAGTTAGTCAAACCAAAGTCTCTGCATGTGATTGAACATAGATTTCAAGCTTTAATTCAATGAAATTTATTGGCATTTATTCCTGACAAGAGGTCAAATCTATGTGTCTGATATGAATAACTGGCCAACCATTCCAATATCGACTGGTAACTGGACGAGAGGCTGTGTTTTATTTCCTCTTTTGGAGATAGGTATGAAATAGGTAAATGATGAGTTGTCATGATGCATAGCAATTTGTGACATACAGTACTCTATTGACCTAATTCAGGGGTTCCCAATCTTTTTCACGACGACCCCAAAGACAACTTTCAAGTGTCCAGTGCGGCCCCAGGTCGATATATATATTTTTCATGAAACTTTAAGAGCTTCTTTCACTGAACTTTTGAGTTTGGTCATGTGGTGGTAATAAGTAAAATAAGCTAAAACCCAACATTGATGTCACAATAAACGCCTACATTTTCAATAACAAAAGCATAGAGTGATGTCTATGGGCCTGTTTTACATTAAGCCATGATACAAACTGCTAAATTTAACATGGTTTGTCAAATCTTAGATGAGTTGTACATCCATCCTCTACCATACCTCAGCGACCCCATGACCTGGTTGCGATCCTACCTATTTATCACTCCGACCCAATTTGGGGTCGCGACCCCCAGGTTTGGGAACCCCCTGGCCTAATTCATGCATCTAAAACAAATAACTGATTACCTACATTCCCATTCCTAAAACCAGCATCAGCTATGGCTTTCCATATGATTACAGTAAATTGTGAATGTGTGAGGTACTGCACAAGACTGTGATATAAGTACCAGGGTGGTACAGGCTCGCGGGCCACATGTGGCCCGCCGCTTCATTATCTGTGGCCTGCGTCACATTCGGAGAGTAATCAAAAAATCTCATTTCGTGTTGGTTCGTCATGAAATTAATCAGAAAAATCTTTTGACATATTGTCATCACTAATGTCATTAAATAGTTTTATGGCTAGCTGGGGAAACCAGCAAAGTTGAATGATTCTAAATTGTTATCTGGCTTGCTAACTTTTTGGTCAGGAATATATGCTAACTAGGGCTGGGCATTTTCGAATACCTTGTGATTTCAGAATCGAATAATTTTTTCGAATCGAATCTCGAATACTTAAAAATATATAATTTTAAGCGACTTTATTATAGTAATTGGTCCTCTCAACAAATGAATTAATGAAGACATAGAATAAATCACCCAGATAGATTACTGAGCGTTCACACAGAATAACAAACACGATTTATCAATAACTCACTACAGAAAATAGTCATATGTTAGAATTTCGTTGAAAAAATATGACTCCAATGAGAAAAAAATTAGGGAATTCACCTCGACCATTAGCCGAAAGATAAAAACAAGATGGCGGCGATTCGAAATTTAGCTCTGAACCGATTCGAATAATTTACTATTCGATTCGAATATTTGATTTGAAATGCCCAGCCCTAATGCTAACAATATAGGCGTAATAGGAAACTAAAAATCGAATACGGATTCTATTAGCCTAGAATGGCTATGCCTGATAACTATGTGATTGTACAATAAAAGTGTTTGTTTTGTATTGAACTTTTTACCTATTCTTGGCACTATTGTGGCCCGCGAACAATGCAAAAATAATTTTGTGGCTCGCGGAGCCGACAGCCTTGGACCACCCTGTACTATACCCTAAGCTAGTATTGTAGTGCGCTGCATTCCCCTATTTCAATTTATGGTAACGGTAGATGTCGGAATGCACCTGATTGAGCGATATATTGTGGGCTTGCGGCAGACCCTAATCGGCTTACTTTCACATTATTATATTACTGACATATTTGTAGCAAGTTCTGACACATTTCAGGTAGTTTTGATTCCAAAGAAGGTTGAGAAAACACTTTTTACACCGTCTTATCATCCATGTTTGTCTTTGTGAAATAAAATGAATTGAAATATATATGCTTGGCAATATTGTGTAGATGAAATTATGCTAGGATTTTTATTCGGTAGAACGTATAGTTCAGTTTAAAGTCGCGTGTACAATGGCTTTGATGATATGTTTTGAACCAAGATAGATATAGAGCTTCAGGCCAACTCATTCTGAGCAAATACAAGTCTCACAGTATGGCCTTAGATTAATTCTAGCAAAATGAACGAATCACAGTTTATTTAAACATCCAAAATTAAATCATTGCTAATACAGTGACTTTTCACGTAAACTCAACGGTATTGGTATCGCTGATTACACATCTCCAGTTCAAAATCCATGCTTCACTTTACCTAGGGTGTAATAGCTTAGGCCAGGGGTGGGCAACATATGGCCCGCTGACTGTACATTAGTTCATTATGATATTACATTATTACACCTTTAGTACATTATGATATATTATGTGTTTTTTGTTCTCTATTTTTTGTAAAGTTTAAACGCGATTCATAACTTTCTTCCTTGCATTAGCGAATGAATATGCGATTAAGATATTAAATACTATTCATATTATAATCCGGCCCACCGAGGACTTCCTTCTCCCACATCCGGCCCGCCGACTAGAGAAGTTGCCCACCCCTGGCTTAGGCAGACCATGCTGAACATGAAAGATTGAAGTACTCGTCGAAAAACTGTAGATTCCTAACATGTCCGTGGGCAGTGTTCCCTCTAAGGTGTGCGCGCACACAGCTTTCAGAGGCTGCGCACAGACGTATTTCGATGTAATGTAACAATGTTCTCGGTTGGCAGGTTGAAAAAGTTTGTTGTTGCCCATTACCCAGTAAGAACGTCAAAATTTCTTCATTGGTTTTTGCACAAATATTAGTCATTTCCAAAAAAGTGCGCACACCCCAAAATTTCTGCGCACACATACTACAAAAAAATCGGTTGGCAGGTTGAAAAAGTTTGTTGTTGGCCCACCCAGTAAGAACGCCAAAATTTCTCCATTGGTTTTTGCACAAATATTAGTCATTTTCAAAAAAGTGCGCACACCCCAAAATTTCTGCGCACACATACTACAAAAATTAGCGGGAACATTGTCCGTGGGTGTTTCCACAGAGCTTTACTTAAAGCACTGGTTCTTAAATTTCTTTAAGCCCTGTCCCCCTTTTTGGAATTTGTCAAATCTCTTACTCCGACTCATTAATAATTAGCTACAAATAAGAGATAGTAAGTCGAAAGTGTGTTTTATTTCAAAAACATATTAAAAATATGTGGATGAAATCGCAATCCCTAAACCAGGGCTACTCAACTGGCGGACCGCGGTCCGAACCTTTCCAGTATTGGATTTGGACCGCACCTAACTATTTATTTTTGATCATTAGCCCCACTTTTTGAATTTCCTATTATAAAATGACTTTCATAGTTTTGAATATATACCAAAAGAACTATACCACCATAATAAACAATTTTAATTTGCTACTAATCATTAGTCGGTCGAGGAAGTGCTCGTTTAAGGATGCCGAAATATCATTTCTGGAAAGACCGGACCCAAATAATTTTGAAGTTTTGTTTGCGGACCTTCGATAAAAATAGTTGAGTAGCCCTGCCCTAAACAATAAAGAAATGTAAATATCCAAAAAAAGGCCGGGGGCAAGATCAAATCTAACAAATAATTCTATTTTTAATTAGCTTCACGCCCCCTCAAAAATTTTCTACAACCCCCCTTGTGGGACGCGCCGCACCGTTCGAGAACCACTGGCCTAGGGTGAATGTTAGAATATTTATAAAAACTTCAATTGTAAACAATTCCAAACATACAGGAAGATTCTGGGCTTCCAGATATAGCAGTTTTTCATGTATCAGTACAGTGCCTACTTGTACAGAACCTTCCTATTTTTGAAAGAAATGGACGTAAAATACAATAAAATGACAATTCAGAAACGAAAAATCTGAACCTTCTAAATATAGTAACTCCTTACAAATCTTATCTAAATGGAAGCTCCTTGCATATCAGCAACTTGCTCATAAAAAGTCCTGTTTTGGAGAAAACGAACAATTCCCCAACATTGATGATACAAGTAACACTGATAATAATACCATCTTTATTCACTCTAACTCATCAGATATATAGTCTTCTTCAATTTTATTGTCAAAAGTTTTTTGTGCGGGTTTGTAAGGAAGAGAGATTAATTCTTTCTGGAGCCTCTCGAGTCTTTGCTTATGGAGAAGATTCAAGGCTGCTTCCCTTTGAAGCATCAGCTGTCTATACTTCTGTTTAACTTCTTTTTTGTCTTGTTGATAAGCATTGTGTAAAAACACCGCTGTTTTTGTTTCCTCCCATGTTGTAGTGGATCTTCTTGTTTTTTTGGGGGGTTTATTCGGTGGTGTTGCTATTCGTAAACGTTGTCGTATGTCCGCGGAAACTAATCGTGATTCCAGTGGAGGTTGGAGAGTTAATGATTTCCAAAAACTTTTCGCATGGTTCACGTCTTCGATTGGTGAATTGCTGAATAAAATGCAATCTTTTTCTTTCTCTATTGGTTTGGCTTTAGGTGGTGGCTCAGGTCTCATTTTTATTTTAATTAACAATCTGTCAAAGTGAGGAAAAACAAAAAAATTGTGAATTTTTTATCAGAAAAGAATGAGAAATTAGGCAACAGGAGAAGAAAACTAATAAGACTACTTTATCATATGCAGTATGGGGACGCACAAACTCTTGTCTGGTTAACATACCAGAGATAGAAACAGTCACTTTTGTTAGAGAATAAGATGAGATTTTCCTACTCTACTATAAGGGTGAGATAAGGATAGGACAGTCATAGTAGCTTTCATAAACAACATTTGGGTCTCATGTAGTTAGGTACCACAAGTACTTCTAGAAATTATTTTAAACATCGTGGTTAAAATGACAGAGGTAATAGTCATACAAAACACAGCTCTGATTACCCTGAGTATGTTTGCAGGTTCGATACCTGTGGTGGATAAATATGTGCAAGAGGACTGCAGGACCACCAGTCCATGCTTCTGACAGAAGCATATAACTAGCTATCCATACCCCAGTATCCATCCATTACGGCACACTATCCAAATTCAAAGAATTTCCCTCCATTCGGCTCAATAAAACAAACACTCCATGTGTCTCACAAACGAGGGGCGTCTGGCACTACACCAGATGCTTCATATCGCGCCATGCTTGTCTCAATAATAATCTGAATTAATCACGGCTGTCACATGACCAAACTTGCCATTTTTTGCTAGGAACTCTCGCATGCAAAAATTTTTTTCCTTCGGTGAATCGGATTATTTTTTCACAAGGAATTCAATGATGACGTTATTACATTGCTTACGCTTTTTAGTAGTACTTTGCGCAACTTATTATACTGCATTATTACCGATATTGAGAGACAACAGTGTCCACACGTCTCCCAAAGGAGGGGTGTCTGATCATCTGTACAATGGGTTTCTCTGAAACGAGACAATGTCACCCGATCTATACAGTGTGCCGTACTGCCTGTTAATAGGACGAGAGGCTGTAGTACGGCATTTAGTTAAGCTGTCTTATTACCTGAATACAGTACCTGAATACAGTAATAGACTACCTCCTTTCACCAACTCACAAACTAATAGTATATCGTCTTATCCCCTGGACTTTTTACTTTTCAAGCTAAATAGTGAGTATTTGCCAGTATAATTTAAAACGCTGGCACATACCCGACTTGGAATGGTAACCGGACGAGAAGCCGTGGTTCGCCATATGGATAAGCCATCTTATCGGCTTTTCTCTCCCCGGGGATAAATATGTAAATCCTATCTTATCTATTTGTGAAAGAAACTACAGCCAAAAACAAAATATCGAAACAACAAGTTAGCCCGTAATGTTCCCCGCTGTAAGTATCTCTTAAATATTGAGTTTACGAGTTATTTTCACATTATTAAATATAGCCGTTGAACAGAAGATTATAAATATACATTAAAGAACGTCTATTATATTCATATGAAATTAATTAAATTTGAACTATATTCAAGACAAAATAGTCACAAATGCATGGGAACACTGTACCTCAAGAGCGCCGATATCGGTAAGCTTTGCGTTTCCCAGACAACGAAAAATCACTCGCGGGTATAAATTGAGGTAATTTCTTAGTTTATTATCATTATTTGGTAATTATTCATAACAAAAAAATTATTTGAAATATTTTTAAAATAGGTATAATGTTTTTGGTGTAAATATTAATTTTACAAGTCTGTTTCTGGCATACTGTCAGGAACGTCGAAAAATGATTATTCCATCACAATAATGTTTATTGTTTACTCACAATGTGTCGCCAAGTGAAAATAAATAAAAATGAAATAAATTTGAAGCTTAGTTGAAGTTGTCATTTTCGTAGAGTCATGTTATTGAGTTTTTGTCGTTTTTTTTCAGAAATTTAGGGCTTAGTTCTTTTAGGGCAATAGGTTAGGTATTAGGGAAACTATAAATATTGTATTAAACCGTAATTTTGTAAGACAAAGAGCTTTTGAAGAACGCGAAAAATGGCTGACAACGCGGGTATTTCGAGCAAAGATTTAATGATCGGAGCAGCATGCCTCGGAGGTGGTGCTTTTGGGTACTATATTGTAAATAAATTCGTCAGAGGCGGAGAAACCCAGTGCGAAAAGCAAGATGTCACCTTTCTAAATGATCCAATTAAAAATTACCCGGACTTATCGAAGCACAGCAACCATATGGCGAATTGTTTGACAAAAGGGTGAGATTTTTCGATTTACCAAGACTTGATTAAATTTCGTATAAAGTAATATAAATGAGTAGTATGTGGACAGAATAGATGAGAGTTACAGAATAGGGTAGGTAATTTTTAGTTACAGTCTCACGACTTTACGTTAAGTTAGAGTTAGACCTTAGGTTAAGATGACTTTACCGCACTTTCCAGATTACCAAGGTGCACTAATAAACTAAAAATAAAAGAAATAAAACAGGACATTAGCGCTCAGGCAAATGGCAGAAACGCAGCAACAATGGCATAACTCATTTTCGGGTATAATTGAAAAAAAACTTCCTAAAGTCGGAATCAATTAATTAGTCAGAATATTTCAACCTTAATTGAAACTAACCAACAAAATTTTTACGCCAAAAAAATTGTGAAGTTCCCGTTATGCTGGACTACCTGGAATCCACTAGTCACAGTCACGGCTTTGAGCCGCTTCAACATAGGGCCCAGGGTGGTCCAAGATTGGCAACTCCGCGGGCCACAATAGTGCCAAGAACTTTGCTCGTTTAACTTCGCTAGTTGCCTCAGCAAGCCATAGCACTAATCAATTCAGTGACATTAGTGATGCAACAATATGACATAAGATTTTTTGGGTAATTTTATGACGAAACAACAAGAAATGCAATTTTTTGATTCCTCTCCGAATGCGACGCGGGCCAAAGATAATGAAGTGACGGGCCACGTGTGGCCCGCGGGCCTGGGTTTGGACCACCCTGACATAGGCGGTCGCGGTGGGCCCGGCACTTTTTTACGCCCGCACCAATTTCGATGTAAATTATAAATTTAACCATTGGGTTACCATGTTTAAGTCAGCGTGTATATTTCATTAGACTGCCTTAAACTCGTAAAGTACCCTTTTCTAATGGTGACATAGGTAAAATAAATAATAAAATGCTAACAGATAAATTCATTTGATATACTTGAATTTGAATTTTTAATCATTGTCCAAGAGCGTAGCCAGCCCAAATTTTAAGGGGACCATTTTTTGTATAATGAATCTCTATAATGAAGTTATCAAAGGCATACGAGCGCGCATTTTCCTCTATCTCGGTTGATTTATTTGGCGAAAGAATTATTGATAGCAGTTTTCAGTAAATCGTTCAAGAATAGAGCAAAATGGTGCTGTAAAAGTCGCAAGAATTACTATCTCACTGTAAATGCCTCAAAATTGCATTAAAAATGTTGAAAGTTGGAGGAACGCCCGCAGCTTTCCATGGCTATGATTATGCCATTGCCATTATTTCGGCTTAGACTGGGATCCGCGTAGTTTGGATCGCATAAGGCTTCGCAATACTCAAGACTGACTTTGACGTGTTGCCTTTGAGCAATCTGCACGTGTTCATTTTTCGTCTTTGATTTTTGAACAGCATCTTCGCAAAATACTGCAACACAATAACACCCAACGGAGTCACCCTCGACCAATGTATACAAACTGGTGTGGACAACCCTGGCCATCCATACATTATGACAGTTGGCCTTGTGGCGGGAGATGAAGAAAGTTATGAGGTGAGACGTTTTTCAGATTAGATGAATTTAAGTCGCGTCGAATAGTAAAACACTGAGTTAAGTCTAGTCTTAAAAAGTCAGTTTTTGTTAAATCGTTCAAGAATGAAGTAAACTGTTGTCGGAAAAGGCGCAAGAACTTTCGCATTTCTGCAAATGCCGCAAAAGTGCATTTGAAAAAAAAAAAAATGTTGAAAATTTAATGGGGGGAAGGGGGCATGGCCCCTCAATCCTAGTTTACAATCTACATGAACATAATACAGAGAATGAATACATAAAAAAACATGGTGTCGCTGATATTTGATATTCTTTCACGGTATACAGATGTTTCGGCCCGCGGACGTTTCCTCCCACGATGCCAATACTTGTTGTGTTATTACAGTGAATAAATGTGGAGTCGAGTTTAAAAGTTCTAACGCTAACAAAACAACACGATCCTTGATTTTCAACATGTATTAGACCGAAACGTCTGAAAAGCCGTCTTTTGCGTCCCTTCGTCAATTGTGTTAAAAATTGATCAATTCTATTTCATTTCTTGCATGACGAAACTAACTATTTGGATTTGTTTTCACTCAAGTTTTAAAGCGAGGTTCTGAGCCTTCAACTAAAAGTAGGAAGAATCTAAAAGTAACGTTTTTTTTATTTCTAGGTATTCAAAGACCTCTTCTACCCCGTCATTAAAGAGCGAATGAACGGTTATGATCCATATTCAATGAAACATCCTACTGATTTGGATCACACAAAATTGAAAGGAGCAGTGCTCGACGTGAAGTAAGTATGGATTATGTTAGCTGTTTCTAAAGTGTGTTTCTGAATAACAGTACATCTTTGCAGGATTGACAGCAGATGCCTGTATTGGTCTTGTTCGACAGGGGCATAGCTAGAATTTTTGATACAGATTTTTTTTTTCATAATTTTAAAGGGGGGTTTCGATCTGCGAACTCACGAAGTTATTCGAAGTGAAAGCTCTGTAAACCGCCATATAAAAAAAACGAATCCCGCTTTTAATTCATAACTCGAAAAATACGGATTCAAATTCATTCTACTTCACAGCTACGTGCTTTCATCCCGAGTCCGTACGGGACGGAGCGTTCGTGGCTTTCGACTACCACCAGCTTGCAATAGAGCAGAAAGAAACGAAGTCGAGAGAATAGTTGTCAGTGCTTTGAGTAATTTAAAAGGTTAGTAAATGTGATGGGTTAGGTTATTGGCATTGTTTCTGAGAGGAGTTTTTTTTTTATCATTATTCGAGAGAGTACAGTCTGTTTATTGGTGGTTTTGTTAGACGGTTTTTGCACGTTTCAGCTTGTTCGTATGTGGTTTTTGACGTTGTGTTGAACGTTTTGTGGTTAGGTTATTGACATTGTTTCTGAGGGGAGTTTTTTTTTATCATTATTCGAGAGAGTATAGCCTGTTTATTGGTGGTTTTGTTAGACGGTTTTTGCACGTTTCAGCTTGTTCGTATGTGGTTTTTGACGTTGTGTTGAACGTTTTGTGGTTAGGTTATTGACATTGTTTCTGAGAGGAGTTTTTTTTTATCATTATTCGAGAGAGTATAGCCTGTTTATTGGTGGTTTTGTTAGACGGTTTTTGCACGTTTCAGCTTGTTCGTATGTGGTGTTTGACGTTGTGTTGAACGTTTTATCGTGTTTTGTGACGTTTTTGCACGGTTTAGCGTGTGTATTGGTTGCTTTAGCGTCAGACGTTATTGGACATTCTAATTGTTTTTTTAATTTTTTCTGCGAGCTATAGCGTGTTTATTAGACTTTTTTGACGGTTTTTTGCACGTTTTAGCGTGTTTATTGGCGCTTACAGACTGTTTTGCACATAACAGCGTGTATTTTAGTGGATTTTGCACGTTTTTCGTGTTTATTGGGACTTACAGAAGGTTTTTGCACATAGCAGCGTTTTTTCAGTAGTTTTTGCACGTTTGTCTTTTTTTGGGGTTTAGTGCCGTATAACGTGTTTTTGGTGTTTGTTGACGCCTTTTGCACGTTTTAGAGTGTTTTCAACGGTTTAAGAATATTCTAAATTATTTTTAAAATACTGAATTTGAAACAAATATAACCACTTTCAAATATTTTTGTATTTTTTGGTTCGTTTCAGACATGGCACGATGTTCCTATCGACGCGCCTTAATACCACTGATTCTGCATACCTAACCTAAAACCATCATTCTTTCATTCCACAGGCGATCTTCGAGGCAAGTATTACGCTTTGAAGACAATGACAGACGCAGAACAGCAGGCTCTCATCGACGATCATTTCCTTTTCGATAAACCTGTCTCTCCTCTCCTTACCTGCGCTGGAATGGCGCGGGACTGGCCTGATGGCAGAGGTATAGTTATATAAAGGGTTTCAATAAAGTTCCTTCACAATTTCAATTTTGTTATTAAGTTAGTTCTCAATATATCTTAACCAGGTTTGTTGTTTTTTAATCAGTAATTGTATTTTTATTTCATATACATCTGTGAGGGCCAAAGCAATATATGGTATCAATAAATTATAAGACTTTATGGACACCCTATATAATCATATTCATTTTTACATTTGATTACAATCATCTTGTCTTATGATTCAATATATGCTTAATGTTGACATTTACGTGCGTAACGGTGTGTAAAATGGCCTCGGATATTTTCGTATGGTTTTATTAGCTCCAGACATTTTCCTACTTCGTACAAATCTCAATTTGAAAGCCGCAATGCCACCAGCGACTGGAAGAAGCGGTTCTTTCCGAATTTGTATTGCCTACCTTATTTAGATATGCACGTCTTAGACCTCGACTTATTTCTCAACCTATGGGGTCGCGACTCAAAGCGGGGTCGCTTGTTTTCTCCGATAATTTCAATAATTTAATCCTTATTGCTTTACCCCAGGCATCTTTCACAACGAGCGCAAGAACTTTTTGGTCTGGGTAAATGAAGAAGATCATACTCGTGTTATATCGATGCAGAGAGGCGGAAACATGAGAGCGGTGTTTGAACGGTTCTGCAGAGGATTGACTGAGGTGGGTATTTCAGTTGTTGGACACGTTTGTACAGTGGCGTATCTAAGATGTGGCAGCCATGGCTCGTGAGGTGAGCAAGGCTTTTGAACAAAGGGCCAACAATTTTGCATATCTAGACTGTCCATGTAAGCAACGTTCATTTTAAGAACTTGCTTAGTTGTGCGGAATAAAAGGCCATGTGAGTTTCAAAAAAAAGGTCTGCTCGGAAAATTAAAAAAGAAAACAACATTTTAAACGAACACAAAATTGTCAATAGGCCTATTTATGAGTGCGGGCAGAACGAAAGTACTGCGCGGGGATTCTCGGCCAGCTGCACGGCCGCGCATCTGCGCAGCTTAGAAGGAACGTTGCATGTAAGCGTGACGTAAAATTACATTTCATGAACAATATTTACAGTGTTACAAAAATAAAAGTGGAAAACAATAAGCCTCGTGCCAAAACTAAATTTAATCGCAATCTCAAGAAAGTCCTCGAAGTATTTTTTAGTTAAAACATCAAAATTTGATTTTAGTTTGGTTGTGGCAGCGTTAAGCGAGCCAGATTAAATTGTCGAACGGACCGGATTTGGCCCGCGGGTCGTAGTTCGCCCATACGCAGCTCGATATTGCGCCGCCGCTTCAAGATTTACCGTTTTATTTCTCTTCACTAGTTTTGAGATTCTAACCTTGTGTCCATATATTTGAGCATTCGTTTTTGTATTGAATAAAAAAAAAAACATACCATTTGAATAACATACCATTTGAATAACATATCATTTGAATAGCATGTATTTTCCAGGATATTCTGAAAAGGCTAACCGTAAGGCCATCGCACCGACCAGACCAGTGGTCGGCAACCTTTTTCAAGTGACCGACCGGTAAAGCCTGACCAAAATTTTGGCGGACCACCTTTATACAAACGAAATAATCTAATGTAATAAATTATATGCGTTAGAAAATTTATGTTGATAATACATTCCCGAACAAAGGTGATACTACTCACGTAACGTATTTCTTACGTTAAACCCACTTCGATCTTTCGTTTTTGTAATTGCCATTTTAAAAACCCAACCTCACATAAAGATAACAATGGCATTGTACGTTTTCATGTCATCTTTCTGCGTACCGGTAGTGACCATTCCGCGGACCGGCGAGGGGAAAGCTACAAGACAAACAAAATTCTTTTCGCAAAGATTGGCACTCTCACTTAATAAGTAATTTTATTTTAATTAGTAATTTTGTTTTAATTAGTAATTTTATTTCAATTGGCAATTTTTAATAGATGTCCCGCCTGAAAATATTACGCCTGAGATAATACTGGCTGAGAACTGGCGGACTATTTTATAACGAACACGTGTTTTCCCAGGTCGAGCAAGAGATGAAGAAGCAAGGCACTCAGTTCATGCATTCAGACAATCTGGGATATATTTTAACCTGCCCTTCCAATCTGGGCACAGGACTTCGTGCAGGAGTCCACGTTAAGCTACCTCTCCTCTCTCAAGACCCAAGATTTGAAAAGATCTTGGTGGCAATGAGACTTCAGAAACGAGGCACCGGTGGAGTGGATACGGAAGCTGTCGGTGGCATTTTTGATATCAGGTAACTAGACATTTTTAGGTACTCCCGTGGTGTCTGTACCAGGTTAGGGTATATTTTCATTTTTATTTCCATTATTTTTGTTCTATTACGAGTTCGGAGACTGTCTGTGTTAGCCAAGTGAATAAATCCTCTGTCCATTGGTTTCAGTCCCTTTTTACAACACAAAAGTGGTACGCAGTTAGTAAAAGGTTGTGAACCCATTCGATTAAATTAATTATTTTTTGCATTGAATTCGTGAAACCCCCTTGTTTCAAAAAGTACTTCACACCCCAACTCTGCAACGCTGCTGAAGTTAACCAAACTTGTGTAACAAAAATTCTTTCTTTGTTACAGCAATGCTGATCGCATTGGGAAAAGCGAAGTCCAACTTGTGCAAATGGTTGTAACTGGCATCAGTCGTTTGATTGAGATGGAAAAGCGATTAGAGAAAAAGGAGTCTATTTCAGATTTAGTACCGGATTTTTCTTAAATTTACTGATCATTTTTAAAAGTGCAACAGCGTTTATTCAAACTTTTATAAATTTCAAATTAATGAATTAATAAAGTAAAGCTACGAATATACAATGTTGCATTTGCTGTCTGTTGGTGGGGTATTACTATATCTGAAATTATTATTCCACAATGCATTTTCGAAAAATAAATCCCTTTACAATTTCAATTTTGCTATGAAGTCAGTTCTCAATATATTTTAACCAGGTTTGTTGTTTTTTAATCAATGATTGTTTGAATATTTTCACTTCATTTAATACATCTGTGAGGGCCAAAATAATATATGGTATCGATAAATTCCCTTTGCAAATTAAAGACGTTTTGGACTGCCTATGTACGAGGTAAGGCTAAAAAGAAACGGGACTGACGTCACAGATTGCGCAACACGATTAACCATCGGTAATCAACACTTTTACAGTGTGGCGTAACATGTGTTCTTTGTTTAACAGCTGTTTTTACACAATATCGCAATTATTTTTGCTTTTTAGGAGCCATAGGTGAATGTGATTAACTGCTTGTTGAAAAAAATTGCCGTGCGAGATCTGATTGAGTTTTTTGGCGATAGGAGGTTCAATAAAAGAATGACGACTGAGCAAAGAATTAACATTAAATTTTGTGTCAAACTTGGAAAAACGGCGACTGAGACTTTGCAGATGTTGCGTGATGTTTATGGAGATTCTTCCATGTCCAGAACAAGGGTTTCTGAATGGCACAAGCGATTTGTGGAAGGCAGGGAGGGTGTGGAGGATGATCCGAGGTCAGGGAGGCCTTGCACTTCCACTACTGATACCAACATCGAAAAGGTTTGGCAGTTGGTTCGCAGTGACCGTCGCTTAACAATTCGCGTCATTGCCAACGAAACTGGGATGGACAAAGAAACGGTCCGCACCATTTTGGTTGACACTTTGGGAATGCGAAAGGCGTGTGCCAAAATGATGCCAAAGGCTCTTGAGTTGACTGAGGAGCAGAAAGCTCAAAGATTGAATGCATGCCGAGTTGACATGCATTTTTCCAAGTTTGACACAAAATTTAATGTTAATTCTTTGCTCAATCGTCATTCTGCAATTGAACCCCCTATCGCCAAAAAACTCAATCAGACGTGACGTACGCCATTCAGAAATCAATCTCCTTTTATTTCTGAGTGAGTGCGCGTGACCTTGCTTGGAGCAAATTACCTTATTGAAAACGGTACCGCGTCATAATAGGTCTGGGCAACAGTATGGTCGCTTGCGAATTCATCATTAATCGAGTTTCATGCACTTTTGAGCGAATTCTCATGACGCAGGATTTCTAAATCACAAGCTATTAAAATGACTAACCCGATGAGTCGTCTCACGCATCAGCCAGAGACGACCCAATTGTCTACATATGATAAGATTTTCATGTTTATCCCTGGGAAGAGGAAAGTCGGATGATCATATGATGAACCACGCCTATCGTTCATGTCGGGTATGGTGATGCATATATGTCTAAATTCAGTTAACTTGACCTCAACTAAATTCATTGGCTTTGTACGTAACTCAAGTGCGTGCACTGACGTTTCATATGGTCGTCATTGAAAACACACAAGTTTCGCTTTCTGGGTATCAGCGGTGTCTTATCACCGGATGTAAATCAGAATATCGCAATGACGTTTTAATAAGCAGTAATCAGTGGTGTTGGGTGGCAGTGGGGGATCGAGGAGTGCGGGCCGGGATGAAATGTCAAAAAAAGAATATTTTTCTCTATCCGTTCTGCATTTTTTTTTCGCTTTAATCGGGCTTCTGTCCAAAAATGTGATCTCATCGTCTTACGACGGAAAGTAAAAGACCCAATCACTGGAATATTCCAGTAGTTCTTCTGCTCGCATTCAACAGCTTTTAATTATACGTATATGGCAATATGAGTAACATTTCGACTTCGCTCCAAACTTGGTAACTCGAGCAGACCTCTCCTTACAAATAGATCGCATATGTTCGATCAGATTCAGTTAATTATTTCCGTCGTTCAAGAAACATTGTACAATTAAACAATATTTATATATAATAGACCGCATATGCGCGATATTTTGCTTTTCTGTATGGTCGGCTAGGGTATATTTAAAGTGAATTATAGCATGCAAATTCATAGCGTATTGATAGTTTCAGTTGGTGACCGTACATTTGAACCCATGTGTATATCCGCGGGTTCAATCCATACCTGGGTGCTAAAACCCATGGGTTAGGGTTAGCATGTGTTCAAATATCCGTAAGTGCAAATTTCCATATGTGCAATAGTATGCAGGTGCGATTGTCGTGGGTTCAAATGTACGGGAACCGTTTCAGTTGTGTTGAGGCACTTTAGCACTTTACTGAGTTGCAGTTAATTAATTTACTTTATATACTGAATTATTGTAGGCGGTAATAGAGTATTGTGAACTGAACTGCGAGTCCTTTTCTCTTGTTCACTTCCTACTTTTGTATCATAAAGATAAAATAGAATAGAATAATCTCTTTTCACGAAATAGCAATTGTGTTTGTAAGCTTTCGCTAGATCATAGTCTAACCTTTTCGGACAAAACAAGATATAGTTGCAAATATGAAAGGTTAAAGATTAGGTACTCCCGAATATGTGAACCAGTATGGCGGACATCGGAACGTAGTATGTATATCAGGTTAGGCTTAGGACATATTTTACTCCGATTTGTCTTATTTAAGTTCTATTACGAGTTTGGGGACTAGCCAAGTGAATACCGTAGTATTTGTACCTGGAATTATGGCCTTGCCCTAACCGGGTACGCATACGACGTTCCGGTGGCCGCCATCTTGGTTCACATACTTCGGGAGTACCAGAGGTTTTGCTATTTCGTGGAAATAGATTATGCTATTCTTATTTAAATAATGTAGTCATAGCAAACGGTATCTAGCTCAGACTTTGCTCATAGCTTACAGTGAATCACTCCGAGAGTTTATCGTGACTTACCAACTGCTGATCGTTGGTTTACAATTTATAACGTCTGTTGTTGAATTGAGATATTTGTACGTTATTATTCAAGTAAAAATACGATTATTTTCAATTTGAAATTATCGTATTGAAACATTTCACGATTAACTTTTTTCCCTTTTTGTGCGTTTTCAAACGGCGCCCACGACACGAGCCATGGCTACCCTAGATTACGGTCACCTGTGGTGACTCACCATATTCGAAAACGCAAAATTCCGGACAGAGCATGACTATTTTCATGACCTCGTAGTGAAAATCCGGATGTCCGGATGTCTTCCGGATTCCGGACATTTGAGCATTTTTTGAATTCTTCCCAGGCGCAAAATTTAACCCTAAATTCCGGACATGTTTGGAATTTTTCGGACGGTATGGCAACCCTATCCTACAAACGCCACTGTTTGCTATTCCTATACCCGACATCGACTGGTTGCTGGGCGAGCGGCCGTGGTATGTTATAATTATAATTAAGCCATCAAACTGTCTTATCGGCTTTCTTCCGTCCGGGATAAACATAAAAATAAGCTTGCGATAAAGCAACCACTCTCGTAGTTTTAATAGCATCGGTATTTACAAATTTATCTCGGGGTGGGGAAAGCCGATTAGACGGCCTAATCATATGACGAACCAAGGCCTCTCGTCCGGTTACCAGTTCATGATGGATATGTGATTAGTTAGCCAGTTTTTTTCGTAAGCATGGATTTGATACAAGCATATCGGCATATGCAGACCTTTTTCAATAGACTGATGGGAAGTCCCAATAAACTTCGTGCTTCCCGAGTCCTTGTAATGTTTCAACTTTTTCATCACTATCGAACGTTTGTAATTCCGATTCCCGATACTTCAAATTTTTTTTAGGTTTCGTCTGTTGATGAGCGACACATTCTTCCAGCCACTTCTTCCCCCCCCCCCTTTTTTTAATTTTTTTTATTGGCCTTTGCCGCTCGCTTGTTTTGTTTCATATGGTAGTCTCTTTGATGACTCCAACAGCAACAGTCAACAGCGAAAGCATGCCAAGCTCCGACTCCGCGTCCTGCTTTCAGTCTATGCACTCAACGCCACATGTTCTTTTCCATCCTCGAGATGTCGCGCCTCGTCTCGACCTTCTCGTTTAACTAAATTTCGTTTTCCCACAAGATCCCACACTACCGCTGATTCATTGAATCAAGCTAACAGGCTATACTTTGCCAATAACGAACGTTTTATTAAGACCGCTACACTTAGGGTTCGAACCCTAGTTAATCAATTTACGAGACTTTGATCTTAACCCCTGAGCCACCGAACTGACCTCCTGTATCGTCAGTTTATTAGAAGTTAATCTTCTTCTGCACTTCACCCAATAACCAGTTGCCAGATTATATTGCATCTAGCTAAGGTGTCTCATAAAGTCTCAAAAATTTTTAAAATTGCAAGTGGAATTTATCGATACCATGTATTGTTTTTGCCCTCACAGATGTATTAAATGAAGTATAAATGCGTGAACAAATACTGATTAAAAAACAACAAACCTGGTTAAGATATATTGAAAACTGACTTGTAACAAAATTGAAATTGTAAAGGGAATTTGTGGACACCCAGTATATTCAAGCCATATCGTCGTCGAGTTTAATTCCATTTGTGTAACAGTTACTACAATGTTTATCTCGTTGAATTTCTGATTTATAAACTATATATATCTATATAGCTCCAGTAAATGTTGACATGTCAGTAATCGCCCGTAACGTCACTCAGTGACGATTTCCCTTTACTTATGAGTGAGTCCCGGTATCTTGCTCTGAAGTGAGTCTTCTCTAATGTTAAGTGAGTGTCTGCTACTTTGCTCAGAGATGAATCTTCTGAGTGAGTGGCCGTATCTTAGTATAAGTTTATTTATAAATATTTATAAGTTTATATCTTCATTCAAAGATGTGTTTTCTTAACTCGTGAGTGAGTGCCGGTAGCGTTACTCAGCGATGAATCTTCTTTACTTCTAAGTGATTTTGCATGATCTTACTTGAAACCGTAACCGACCAACTGTTAGTTACATGATCCATTCTACGGACGCGAGGAGTCCAGCAATCCTCTTGCACATAACCATCCCTGCATGGGATTCGAACCTGCGAACTTACGCAGAGTAATCAGAGGTGCGGTGGCGAGCGTATTCTTAACGCTTAGCACGATGTCGATGAGTCACACCGCCGCGCCGGTTAGCGTAGTCGTAAGGAGTTGGATGTTAAGAACTATAGGAACCGTGTTTCTTACCTTGTTATTACCGAAACCAATTACACTAGGTTACACATTCCCCCTGCCCTAAAATTTCGAAAACCACCCCTAATTTTGAGATGTGACATCACATTCCAAATCCTAACTCAAATATAATTGTATCTGAGTATCCAGAAAGTGGCGTATATACCAATGCAAATGATCAATAAAATACATAACGTATTTTCATACGTTACAAATAGCTTTATCGCTACTAGCTAGAAATCTACCGCCCCTGAGATTTGGAAACACACCGTAAAATGAAATGCCGCGGAGTAAACTGCAGGCCAAGACCAGTGGTTGGATTCAAATTTTCTGTCAGCCGGTTCCATCACACAAATGTCATACTTTCAGCCAGTTCTGTTACAAAAAGTCATGTTTTTTTTAGTAATGCTAACCGGTACGCTGATCTCATAAAATTCCGTGAGACGGTTCTATAGAACCAGTGCGAACAGGCTGAATCCCACTACTGGCCAAGACTTGTCTCATTGTAGGGTGGTTCACGTAGCCGCTCGTCATTCACAGCTTACTTTACCATCAAGTTCATGTATCTGAAACAATTAACTGGGTAACTATTCGCATACTGACATGCAGTAGTGGGATTCAGTCGGTTCGCACAGGTTCTATAAAACCGTCTCACGGAATTTTATGAGATCAGCAAAACGGTTAGAATTACTGAAAAAAAACATGAATTTTTGTAACAGAACCGGATGAAAAATATGACATTTAGTGATGGAACCGGCTGACATAAAATTTGAATCCCACCACTGCTGACATGTATATATATAAATTGCAAATGGGACGAGGGGCCGCAGTTTTCTACATGATTAAGCCGTCTTATCAGCTTTTTTCTTTACGGGATAAATATATGAAAAATCTTCATTGCCAGTATGGAACAAGCGCCGTGACTGAAACTAGAGTTAAATCGGTGGTCACATTTTTATGTACCTCAATTAATCAAAATTTATTCACGTCAAGGTAACTAGATGGATAGATAATTTATTTTGAATTCAATCATGAAAAAACTCGTAAAGTTACGATAAAAACTTATGTGCTAGCGACCACTTATTATTTTAAATAAGCTGTTAGCGGTTACTAGTAATCAGAATGCAAATTAAAAACTTGAACCAAAATTACAAAATCTAGTTAGATTGCAAAATCTGGTTGGATTGATCGCTTGAAACGTGATATTAGTCACGCGCGCAGTGAGAATGCAGACTGACATAATTAATAAGTAAAAATGATAAGTGAATTTTTATTTCGATGCCAAGGAATACAGCTGTATAATTATAAGATTTATGGTAAGAATGATAGATGTGAATCATGCGGTGATAATAATTTTAAACTTTGCGGCGCCTACAATATATAGATTGTCCATAAAGTTCCTTTGAAATTTTGTTATGAAGTCAGTTCTCAATATATCTTAACCAGGTTTGTTGTTTGTTAATCGGTAATCGTTCGAGTATTTTAACTTCATTTAATACATCTGTGAAGGCCCAAACAAGTTTATGGTATCGATGAATTTCCTTTGCAATTTCAGGTGGCTAAAAATGGGATGTTTCAAATCTGTTCAATGAGTGTGGGAGACGATTTGACGGCTCTGAAGATATATATTATATACTTAGGATAAACTTTATTGCTGCATTCTGAATAATGTCGTATAATTAATGTTAAAATTAGTTTGTTATTTTATTATCCCGTTCTGAGGATAGAATAGAATTTACCTATTTATCCCGGGGGAGAGGAAAGTCGATAATACGGCTTAACCATATGGCGGACCATGGTCTCTCGTCTGGTTACCATTCCATGTCGGGTATGGGATTAATTCGCCAGTTATGTGTTTTCGTAAGCATGGACTCAACGGTGGAGGAAGCCGTAACTGACCAGAAGTTACGTAAATCTTCCTGCGGACGTCATATCCAAAACCTCGAAGAGTCATGACGTAAAAATCTTGATTTTTTGATACAATCAGGCAAAAATTGGGATGGATACATTATGGGCGCAGTGCGCGTGTTCTTTTTTTATGGTTACGTATTAGTGAGAGCTAAGACCTTATTTTGTTTAAAATTAAGCATGAAATCCTTTCTTAGCTATGGCGGTTTTCAAGCTTGTCCAAATGCTAATGTTGAGTATCGCTGTATCGCAAGCCGAGAACCGCAACAAAGGTGTTGTTTCCGCATAAGAAATGAGGAAAACGGCAAAAATTTGATAGGCTTAAAATAATTGACATGAAAATCTAAATAAATCCATTTCCTTGTGACAAGTCTTATATTTTACAATTGTTGTAATACGACACGCCGTGCCACGGAAAGTGACGTCAGAGAAAAGGGGAATTCCCTCAAAAACAAACACAGGTCTGGTTTATTTTCGCTGATTCGTACCGGTAGTTTTTGCAAAATTTTGCGTAAAATTGCAGACTTTTTGACATTTTTAGACACTGTTTGAAAAAATATATATGTATTTATTTTAAATAAACGGTTAAAATGGCAAAACTGAACTTTTCGTGCAACATTTCCTGGCTTTTCCGTGAGAGTGAATTTACAGAGCGATTCCAGCTGGCAGCCGACCATGGTTTCAAAGGTGAGACTTATAAGTATAAGTTTATTTCGACTCCATAATCAGCATAACAATACATTTGACGGATAAAAACAAATAAATAAAAACTGATTATGAAATCAGGGGAGCAAACAAAACCTTAGATAAGGTTTATAACGTACAAAACATAAGATGGAAGGTTTTGCCAAGAGGAAGTGGTACGTGTTTACTCACCTAAAATTATTAAGTTACGGTATTTCACACACGCTCACATGCACCCACCAGCCACACACTCACACAACCACTGAGAATTTATTTAAGTAAGAATAAAACTTTTTCAGCTCTTGTTTTATTGTATACTGATATATGTACAAATATGGGAGTTTGTCTGCTTGGGTAAAATATACTTATAATTCAGTCCCGTCAACATGGTAAGCAATGAATCCTGAAATCGTTACTGGTCACTGGTCAGAATGTTTCACACTAGCTTTCTAAAGTTCACATCTTTACACCCTCATTCCTGCAGTCCTGACAGCTGAGCAACGCTGTATAAATTTATTTTGACTCCATAATTAGCATAAAAGATGATAAAATAATTGATAAAAATAAAATAAATATAGCTGATTACAGAATCAGGAAAGCGAACTAAACCCTAAGTAAGCTTTAAAACATACAGACTGGCAGATGTTAGATTTAAAGGCGTTGTTAAAATGGTACTGCCGTAGTGTGTGTACCATATTAGGTTGTTGGGGGAATAATTTCATCCTGATTTTCTTTGTTTTAGTTCTATTACGAGTTCGGTGACTGTCTGTGTTAGTCAAGTCAATATATCCCCTGCTTATAGGTTTCAGTCCCTTAACACAACTTGATGTAAAATAGGCAAGCAAAATTAGCTTCCTCCAAATTGGTACCGGTATACACACTTCTGGAGCACAGTCAAAATAAGTGGTACGTGCTCGCTCACCCATGAATGAACGTGCCATAAACTGCTTATTGTACATATCATCGTGGTGCCGTACCACTTTGTTCTGTGTATTGTACAAGGGTTTTATTTGTATATTTCATGTCTGTTGTTCTACTATAACGCAGCAGTCGTAAACTGCAGTTATAATTGTTAGGGGTGCATGTCCACATCTGTGTCTTAGGCCTGTAAGGTCTTGCACGTGTATCCCGTCTCTTTTATACCGTTTAACTATTATGCAGATACTGTTACATTTTTGAGGCAAATAAACGTACATACATACATACACCCGAAAGTATTAAATTAAAACACACACATACAATCACACAGTCAAAATAGAATTAGGAAAGACAAAAAAAAGAGAAACATAAGATGTATTACTTAGTAAAAAGAAAAATATCCAAACAATCATTTCTGCGTTTAGTACATATTTTTTTGTATGACATTACCTCAACAAATTTATCACATCTTAGGTGAAGTGTTGGAGTTTTGACTTCAAATCTATAGTGTCCGACTTACACTAACCAATTGGCCATCAAAAGTAGGCACGTAGGCAGGAATTTTCAAAGTCTTGGAAAAGCGGTTTTAAAATCCCTAATTGCCAAGTTAAACCGTAAGCAGCGTGTTTGGGTTCTCGAAGCGTCTAAAAAGCGTTTAAAGCAATGAAAAATTGAAATATGTGATACAGAAAAATGTTTTTTTTGACATTTCAAAAGGTGGGTTCAAAAGTATCGGTAAAAATTAACCTTACTATCATGAACTCATTTTCAGCGGTTGAACTTGGTTGGCCGTATTCAGTGAAGATTGAAAAACTCGTCGCAGCAAAGGAATCTGCCGGCGTTGAATTGATATTAATGAATACAGGATCAAGTAAGTAAAAGATCATTCAATTCTAGCTCTGCTACCAGTAAAAATTGCTGAGGCATGACTGAGCAGAATATTGTTATTTAATATAAATGTACAAGGTGCTGTCAAAGCAAGGTCAAAAGTAAATGCAGATCACTAGATTTAAAATGAAATCAAAATATAGCAGCATCAACAATTTAACACTGAATTGAAATTATTCTGACTGGTCTCTCGGTACTCCTGAAGTATGCGAACCAAGATTGCGGACACTGGATTGTAGTATGTGTACCAGGTCAGGGTTAGGCCATAATTTTATTCCAATTTTCCCTATTTTAGTTCTATTACGAGTTCGGGGACTAGCCAAGTGACTGTAGTATTGTACCCAAAATTATGGCCAAACCCTAACCTGGTACACATACTACGTTCCGGTGTCCGCCATCTTGGTTCACATACTTCAGGAGTACCCATGCCTCAATGATCCTTACTAGCAGCGGATTTTAAATTGTATTGAAGTTAATCAGATCCAACTTTTATTTGATAATCAAATATTAAAGATCACTGAGGCATGACTGAGCATAGCAATCTTACGGTAATTTTAAAAATGTTGGATTTGTTTAACTTAAGTACAATTAATGTACTAGAGTTAAATAGCTTTGCAAGATTTTTTGTATTATGCTTGGAATTTCTGAATATTTGCTAAGGTAAATATGTCTCGTATTGGACCGTAATTATGATGAAATATTCATGTTGGTTGAGGCTGGCTGTAGGAACATAAAAATAAACAATGTTGTCAACATGAGGTCACTTTTCAACCACAGTAATTTTTTTTGTCTATTTTCAGTTACTTTTACCTAACTATTTAAACGCTACTCGTTAGATTAATAGTTCAGCAAGTGACGGTATCTAAAACACAAAAAGACAAAAACCTGATTTGTTAAACTATTTCACTTAAGTTCGGCTAGCCATATTAAATTGTTACCACTGGTTTATATTGTAAATTAATATTCATTTTTTTTTGTTACAGTTCAAAGCCTAGGCAGCGCGGCTGTTCCTGGTTCTGAAGAAGATTTCAAGCAGGAGTTGGATCTGGCAATACAATATGCTAAAGCTTTGAAATGTAAAAGGTGGGATCGCTTCAGCGTATTTGTGATTTTTTGTTCCTTTTTATTTTTATCATTATGAGACAACGTTTTTTTTTTGTTTGTTATTCCATCCAGCGTTGGTTTCTGGCAAGTTTATGTCCCGAACAAATATTTATGTGTTTTGTGAGATTCATTGTAAAACATATCATTTAACGACTCATACCCGATTTTCATTCTCTCACACCGCAACCTGGGACATGGACGTGTCATAAACAAACTGACTATATTGTGCATATCGTTGTTGTGTCGTACTGTGTATTTTACTAGAGTTTCATTTGTATAAGACTATTTCATGTCCGTTATCCTATTATACCACAGCAGTCCTAAACTGTTGTTATAATTGTTAGGTCGCACATCTGTGTCTTAGGCCAGTAAGGTCTTGAACATGTATCCCTCTGTTTTACTGTTTATTAATTATGCAGATATCTTTACATTTTTGAGGCAAATAAAGGTACATACCCAACTAGTAAAGAGAAAATAATATATGTTTTGCCATTTAGAATGTCTTTATCTTTGGTATAATAAAATGGGTAACTATTCATATACTGGAATAAGGACGGCTTGAAGACAACTGAAAGACGGCCTAATCATATGGCGAACCACGGCCTCTCGTCTGGTTGCGAGTCTTTGTCGGATATGGGATTAGTTAGTCAGTTACTTTTTTTCAGAAGCATGGACTTGCGAACCTACGCAGGGTATTCGGAGGTGCGGTGGCGAGCGTATTCCTAACGCTTAGCATGATACGTCACACCGCCAAGCCGGAATTCCGTCTACCATATCAGCCATTTACTTTTGTATCCATATATTTCAGCAACACACTTTGTTTTATATTTATTAGAATTCACATAATGGCTGGGCAGTTACCAGATGATTGTACCAAGTACATTGACGAGAACCACAAAGCCCAATACTACCCTGAATATACAAAGACATTCATCGCTAATCTACAATATGCATCGGAAAAGTTGATGGGGGTAGGTTATAAATTCTTGTATATCCTCACACATAAGCCGATCTCGCATTTGCATTATTTATGAAAATTCGCATATAAGCCAACCCTACGAATTGTAACATGCCGTACGCACCTAACCTTGCAAGCGATCATTTGTATGACAACCAATCACATACTGTTATCACTGTTATAGCGTACCAAGTGCTGCTTCGCGTGTGTGCGTGGCATTCCGGCATTGTCTGCCCAGTCTATTACACCCTGGATAAAATCTGGATAAAATCTCAAACTGTTCGAACCGTTGACAGTCTGTGCCAGCACGGGTTTGGTGCTGCAACAGGCGACCTGCAGACCTGCCAAGCCATTCAGTGTGACGTGGCCCTTGTAAACTATTTTTATATCTATTTTTGCCGTATGGAGCATAAAATTCTAATCCGTCAGGTTTATAGATAAAAATACTTGATGTTTTTTGGTTTTGTCGCTGCGTTAAATCTTTTGCCGTTTTGGATTGTGACAATTTTTTAATTGTGGACATACATTTTTTGTGGCCTGTCTAGATGTCTAAAGTTGGTTATATGGCCCTAGAAGTAAGATCGGCCCCAAAAATTCCAGCACGACCAGAACGTAATGATTGACATTTCAGGCCCGACCCGGCCCGAACGTAATGATTAACATTTCAGGGTCGGGCTCGGGCTTCAGATCTTAGTTCTATATGGCCCTCCTACGAGATTCGCACCCATAATCCTGGTGTATTCCTAACACTTACCGCCATTGGTTTAATCTTCGAATAAACAATAACAACAACAACGATTTGGGAGCTGACCTATTGCATATACTGCAGATGTACCGTACTGTTAGCAAAAATATTTTTTGTTTTTGCTCCCCCTTTCGCTCCGTCTGTATCAGAAAAACGTTTGTGCTTTAGCGTTTGTTTGGGTTTCCATTTGATGAAATACTAAATTCTCTTTCCTGTTTTAGGAAGGAATGACTGGACTCATCGAGCCGATCAACTGCAGAAAAGATGTTCCAAGATATTTCCTAACAACACATGAACAAGGTAACAGGAATGAAGATTTAGTTCAGGGTTGTGCAACATATTTGTAGGTTGGTCATATGACCAACTTCAGACAAGTAGGGAGGCTACACAAAAAATAAATGAAAGAAGAAAATGCAGCTATTGCCCAGCCAGCTTTGCAGTAATAAAGACACCGGGAAAAATGGCGTAAAATTTAACACAGCGACAAGAGCAAAAATCATAATGTGTTTTTACCCACATGAGCGTATTTTTAAACATAAACTGTTGGATTTGATTTTATGCTCAATGTGGAAAATCTGAGTGTTGACTTGGCAGGCCAAATTATCGCCCACTGGCCGCCGCTTCCCCCCCCTGATTTTAATTATCAATTGGTTTTTTTTAGGACCAGTTTCTTACCAGAATTTTGTTTCGACTATTAGTTCAATTGTGTATGTCCAAGGAAGTCTGCCGTTGAAAGCATGAAACCTTATAATAATATGTAAGATGTGGCGGTATGGCGCATTGTGCTGAACGTTTAGATTGCACTTTTGCAATCTTGCCATTGCACTTCTGATTATGCTGCATGAGTTCGTAGGTCAAATCCCATGCAGGGATAGGTATGTCCGAGAGGACTGCTGGACTCCTCGCTGGCGTAGGGTGGTTCACGTAACCGCTGGTCAGTTACGGCTTCCTTCACCATCAAGTCCATGTTTCTGAAAACAAATAACTGGTTAACCAATCCCATATCTAACATGGACCGGTAACCAGACTAGAGGCCGTGGTTCGTCATGAGTCACCGTTGTGGCTTACCTTTCCCCATAATCAATATGTAAATCCTAAACCATTGTTGTTCCTCACAGCGTGTTCAATTCTGGACCAAGTTGGACGGCCGAACATAAAGTACCAGTTGGATTTCTATCATTTGCAATTAATGGAAGGAAACTTGACAGCAAATTTGAAGAGATTGTTGCCTAGAATTGGTAAGTTTGGTTTGTTTTTTTCCACATTTCTCATCGTAAACAAGACACAGGACTCATATAAGCCACCACTCATATATACCTACTAGGATGCCGTCGCTCGATAACCTTTGGCGTCTTCTTTCACCCTGAAATCTGAATTTTCTCGAAATTTTTAAATTAGATATCAACATAGTTGGGTCTGGTGGATCAGTGGTTTAAACTTTTATCATCTGTGGTTCCTTTCGGAGTCCCCAAGGTCTCTCAACACTGGTGGCCTCCCATGGTCTTCTATAAAAATACCTACCGGTAATTTGGCTTTCAACAATTTCCATCAGTTATTTTATTCGCCACATTCAATACTAAAAACCCAACAAACAAAAACAAAAAATAAATGCATAACAGTCAATTTATTTTAAATTAATGTAGTCAGCGAGAACGGTTTTTGCAGTAAAGGATTTTGCTTGCGACCTCCAAAGAACCAGTCCGTGACCCCCATGTCCAGTTTTATAAACCCCTTCTTAGGCCCTAAATCAATAGAGCCCCAGAGAATTGTTCCCAGGATAACCTCTTGCTTGTGGCCCCCTAAGAACCGGGCTGTGGCCCCAAGGGGTTCAAGGACCCAGTTCCACAAACCCTGCCCTAGGATGACGCGACCACATTTTAAGCCTTTTATTCTCTTTTCAGGCCACATTCATTTTGCTTATGGGCCCCTATGAACCTGTTGGTGGCCCCGGGGGAGGCCAAGGGAGGGCCCAGTTTCATAAATCCTGCCCTAACCCATCCAAACCACTTTTGAAGGAATCTCATTTTTCTTGATCCAGGCCACATTCAGATAAGTCAGGTGCCGAGTCGAGCAGAGCCATCTAGTCCGGGAGAAATAAACTATGATTATATCTTCAACCTTCTTGAGAGTCTGTGTTACAGGGATTGGATTGGATGTGAATATGCACCATCAAGTGAGTAACAATAATTGGTTTTGATTTTGGGGATTTCAATTATTTTTGGGGGGTAGGAATTGTAGGACGATACTGCAAATCACCGCAGGATATGCAGAGGCGGCAAGTGTATTCATGACACTTAGCACGATACGCCACACTCACACCGCCGATAGATAGTTGCAGTGGTGGGATTCAGCCGGTTCGCACCGGTTCTATAGAACCGTCACACGGAATTTAATGAGATCAGCGAACCGGTCAGCATTACTGGTTACCGTCAATGACTTTTTGTACCAGGACCGGCTGAAAATATGACTTTTGTGATGAAACCGGCTGACAAGAAAATTGAATAGTTGACCAATAAAATCAGTAAATACACTATTGTAATCAGCAAATAAATTGTTTTAGGGACATAGCTTTGGACGATGAAGGGCTGTCATGTTATTACCTCTGGTAAATTACCAGTCGGCGTTGGGTATGGATTACACTGCTTGAGTTTGTAGATTCGAATCCTGTTGGTGATATTTATGTGAGAGAGGATTGTTAGACTCTTTGCTGCCCTAGGGTGGTTCACGAAACCAATTCATTAACTTGCAGTGGAATTTCGTACAGAGCATTGTTCAGAGTGAATGGCACATGAATAATTAGTATAGAAATACTGAATTGTTCCAGTGGACCGGCCCCCCACGCCTCGCCTGCATCCCTCCCATGGGGTGTCTGCCCCTGGGTGTAACTTGGAATTTACGTACCCACACGGGGTAATCTAAGGATCAATAGCAAGGGTGCTTATAACGTCCAATATCAACTGTTACTATTTGTCCCAGTTGTCGATCGTCATCAGAAAAATACTTGACAAAAGCCTCTTAAAATATCGACTAAATCAGTATTTTTTAACCTATGTATGGGTTCAACCCAAAACTGGGTCACCTGAAAATAATCTTAGGTCGCTTGTTCGTTCAACACAAACGAAAAAGTTACAGATTTAACTTTCTCTTAGATTTCATCGCTGATTTTATATGTGTATTACTCAATAGTACCGGTAATTGTATGTGGGGAAGATCACAGCATAAAAACTTAGCAGCATCCATTTTGCTCAAGTGAACCCACAGTTCCACACCGCGATGGGTCGCTTTTAAATACGGTTGGGAATCATTGGTCTAAATCAGTGGTGTGCAACCTTTAATGCAGAAGGGCCAGATAAAAATAACTGGGTAAAGCCGTGGGCCGCACCTTTTTTCAACATAGGCTTTCTAGTAGTTGTAAGTACAGAAATCGGTTAACTCCTTGATGTTATCAAATGCGTTGTTCGTTTCGAACAAGCTGAGGTATAATAGACCTTGCAACGCAAGGCGCAACGATTGGAATCACTCACACAAATTAAATAAAACTGAATTAAAAATTCATCTTGTGGGCCGCACACCATTCAAAACCGGCACTTCTCCGCAGGCCGCAAAATTTTTATTTGTGGGCCGCATTTGGCCCGCAGGTCACAGTTTGCTCACCCCTGGCCTAAATCAATAATTTTTTCATTTCGCAGAAAACACAGACAACAGCTTGAAATGGTTCAAGGAATATTTAGAAGCAGCAGACCATGACATGGTGTTGCACAACCGCCACTAAGCGGAGTTCGGCTTACTGGAGGATCTCAAAATTTAAATTTCAGGGGGGAGTGGGAGGAAATGAATGATTTATGTAGAGGTTGCTAAATTAAATTTTCTTCTGAGGGCCATAATTACCACCCATCAGATTTCGACTTAATGGAAAATATCATTAATTTTTTTTTTGGGAGGAGGGGAATTAATAGGGGGTGGGGGACACAAAAGATGTGTAAAGGTTGCTAAATTAAATTGTATTTTGAAGACCATAATCACATTTCGACTTATTGGTGAAATTCGTAATTTTACTTTTTTTTTTTTTTTTTTGGAGAGAGGCTGCAATTGATAGGGGGTGGGAGGAATGAAGGATGTGTGAAATTTTCTATTTTTCATTAAGATATATTTGCAACACAGCAGCAATTGATACACCTTTTATTGTGAGATGATTATTAATTTGTTTCAGATAGTGGTTCCCAAACCGTGGCCGTATTACGGCCCGCAGAATGATTTAATATGGCCCACCAAACTTGAGTGAAATTGTTTAACACTTTATTTTTTTACTTTGGATACTGCCAGTTGTTACAACATTATCCCAGTCTAAGCATGTGTATATTCATAACAATTTAAATGTATCGGTATATGTATATCATTTATATGTACCGGTGTGGGTCCCTAGCATGCACTCCCCTCTTCGGGACTGCAAATATCCTTTCGCTTCTAATTTCGCCCTCCGATCAATGAACTTTGGCAACCCCCAACCTAACCTTAGTTTAAGACTTGGAGTGTATGTTTTAAATCATATAATAATTTTGGTGCTCCCGAAGTATGTGCACCAAGATGGCGCACAACCTGAACATAGTATGTGTACCAGGTTAATGTTATCGATTGTGCGCCATCTTGTTGCATATACTTCTAGAGCGCGTAATTTTTATATTTCATTCATGATTCATCGAACAAAAATGGTGAGGAAAAATTTCTTTTTATAAAAAAATTCAAGAGCTTGAAAAATAACAAAAATGCTAATTTTGCCTAATTTTTGTAAAATATTTCTTCAATTTTTATTTTTGAGTGAAGTTCCATGCTTTTTGTTACTGGTTACCTATAATTTTTGGTGAAAATCACATTTTTAGTAATTCTATACTGTGCATGCCTGTTTGAAATTATTTCTATATAATTAATTGTTTAATAGGTTATATTTTAACGTTTTTATGGAGGATTTCCCGCTTGGGGCATTCAATTTACGGTACCCATTGTACTGTATGTACCAGTTAGGGTTAGTAATTTTACTCTGTGTTCCCTTATATTAGTTTCATTACGAGTTCGGGGATTGTCTGTGTTGGCCAAGTTAGTTACTTCCATATTGGTACATACACTTCTGGAGTGACCAATTTTATTTAATAGTGGAATGAATTTTTTTTTTTTGAGTTTTAGTCTGAAGTTTTGTCTTCGTAGTAAGTGAACCAAGATGGCGGACACCAGAACATAGTATATTTACCAGGTTAAGGTTACGCCCTAATTTCAGGTACAAATATTACGGGAGTCACTTGGCTAGTCCCCGAACTCGTAAAAGAACTAAAAAAAGAAAAATTGGAATAAAATTATGGCCTAACCTTAACCTGGTACACATACTATGTTCAGGTGTCCGCCATCTTGTTGCACATACTACGGGAGCGCCGTCTGTTCTGTGTTAGGATACATATGAGACTTGCCAATATTTTTCAGTTTTCTATTTATAGAACTTCGGGAGGGAGAAACTGACATATAATACTATTTTAAGGGTTGCTGAGAGCGAAGTGCCAACACCTCTATTATATATACTAGTACATTCATAATATTCTAATCGTTTTTCTTACCGTCATGCTTTTCAATTCCATGTCTCAGGTTTTTGTGATTATTCATGTTGCATTACATCCATTCTCGTCATAATCTATACAATAAATGTATTGATATAAATTTATTAGATATACCAAAGTGTTTTGCTGTTTTAGTAGCTTCTCAATTATCGGTGACAAAATTTGAAAAGCTGATACGATTTGTGTTGAAAACTATTTCCAGAATTTCCGGGAACAACATTCCCAGTTGTTATACCATTCTTCATCAGTGTTTAGAGATAATTGGGACCTCCTGAAGTATGTGCACCAAGATGTCGCACAACCAGAACTCAGGTTGTGTACCAGGTTAGGGTTCACGTTATCGACATCTTGGTGCGCATAATTCAGGAGTACCGATAATTGTGTTACGATGCATAAAGCAGATGTAATCATATAAGTTGATTGCCTATACCAGCGAGTCCCAAAGGTTCCAACTAGTGTGCCGCGGCGATTTGCCAAGTGTGCACGATCGCCTCGCCGCATTAGTGGGAGCTGCTTGCTTGGACAAGAGTATTTTGCTATATCAGTAGCTCTGTGGAGACTCTTGGCTGCTTGGCCAACGTGTTGTTTGGAGTGAACGTATGAAAAATCATTGATAAAATATGTCAGTATTTGGTATAAAAACCGCCAATACAATTCTTTCTATGATTTTAAGATTAAACGTAATTTTTCATTCCTGGCTTTTTGTGGTACTTTATAAGTTGTCGTTAACCGCCATTTCTATTACCAACCATGCCGGAAAATGGGTACTCCCGTAGTATGTGTACCAGGTTAGGGTTAGGCCATAATTTCTTCCGATTTTCCTTATTGAAGTTTTATCTAAGTGAATATACCCCCTGTCTATAGGTTTCAGTCCCTTTACACAACTTGATGTAAAGTAGGCGAACAAAATTAGTTACCTCTATATTGGTACACATACTTCTGGAACGCCCAACATACTCCCAAGATTGCCCTGACTACTTTCGTCTATCTGTCTTTATGTTAATGGATACAAATTGGTATCTGGTATAATTGATATATCGATGCATTCCTGCCACAATTTCAGGGAGTAATCATAATTTTTCATCTAATTACCTCAAAATTGTAAGTTGTCACTTGATGCAGTAGAGAGCAACGTAGAAATGTATTCTATTTGATTGGAGGTGCATGCTAACACAAATGAATCTATGTAGAAATGTATGTCGTTGATTTTAACATCGCACCTAACTGCAGTTTGTGTCTCAGCCTTTATCATCTGCTCATGAGGGAGTATAAAGTCGTATGGTACATACCACCTTTTCCGTATGTTCTGGAAGCATGCATGTTGTTGCAATTGATTTTTTATGCATGGTATAAACTCATTGTTATATACTTCCGACTTGTATTTATCGAGATGGTTTAGGACAGGGGTAGGCAAAATATGGCCCGCGGGCCGGATACGGCTGACCGAAGTGTTTCATCCGCTCACTTGTGTCTGCTGAAAATTTGGCCTTATCTTTATGCATATAAATTTCCGTTGAAAATATTTACGAAAATAACGTCATAATGATCCCAATTATTACACTGTTCATCATATTATTGGACACGTAGTGGACATAACGATCGTTTTGTTCTGAGTCTTGTTGTTGTTCTTTGACACGTTTTGAAGAAACCGCTTTTATCTTTGAATACTGGACCAATTGCTTCGAAATTTTCAAAGGTTAAAGATGGAATTTTTATCCAGGGGGCTATTACTTTTATTTTTGCTCTGACGTCATCAAAATGATGTGGCGCTACTACGTGTCCATATATATATGAGCATAGCTCTCTTGTTATATAACGTTATATAAACGTTAGCCTAGCTGTTGGACTATCTTTTGTAAATGAAATGTTCTATTCATAGTCTCATGTTAAGTTTTGAGCCTTAGGCCCAGTAACCAAGTCTTTTATCTGTAACTGGCCCACTCAAAAAAGTAATTGCCCACTCCTGTTTTAGCAGAACAATGGCCAGATTAGCGCAACTTAGCAAGATATACCAAGGAGGTATGCAGGGTAGCCCATTGCTGGTTTCACTTTTCACCTGGCCTTCACTTTTTAAATAATGACGCTTTTAGCTAATGATTTCAATTTATTTTCGTCGCGATAAGACTATATATCCGTTAATGGGCTCTCAGACAAATCGATTCTTGAGCGAATGTGAAGTTATTTGAAAATTGACTTGCAAAGTTATCGGCGACAACTGAAGAGCTACATGGCCCATATAGAATTGTGAGAGTTAGTAAGAAACCAAAACGACGTAAAGCAGGGGTTCTCAAACTTTTTGGTGTTATGGAGCCCAACAATAAATTTATAAGAGAAAAAAAACATTGTTACTTACCGATTGAAGTTCACGAGTAAGTTAAAATTATTTAATTGCTCGGATGTATTTGCTGTTTTGTATTAAAAAAATACAAACATATTAATAAAGTAGTGTCGGAATATGGCAGTAATTAAAATATGTCGATAAGTCGTATTTTAATTGCTGCCGTTGTCAAATTTTATTAATTAATGCCGTTATTGCTTCTTTGAACGGTCATAAAATTAGGCAAGTCACTATTTTAATAAAGTAAAGTAGTAAAGTAATAAGTAAACGAATAGATCTCGAAGCATCCATGTTATTTTCATAAAGCATTGCGACTCCGTATGAAGCACTTTGAGAATCTATGACGTAAATGAGTCCAAATCTGGGCATGAATTACCACTAAACTGAACAAAGCAAGCCTTTAAGTCGAATCTATCACTTTTTTGCGTTGATTGGCTTGGAGTACTCTGGACCTGAGCTGAGGAATTTCGGCTAGTTTAGATAATTTCTTCGTATTACCATCTATTACACTTGAGCTGAATCCAATTCTAAATCCTTTACACTTAGGGTTGGCTTATATTCTATCATTATTTCTTCCCCTCAGCAAATTTCAAAATAGAATTCGTCTCCTAAAGCTTTCCCGGTGTGCCATAAGTGAAATACATCTAGAAGATAATTTCTCCATAATAACATCAATTGCACAATGGAAGACTTTCCAATCTTGATGAAGCACTTCTTTGCTTGCAAAATGCACCCCAATACATGTCCATCTTACCCCAAAGGTGTGAGCATACCCCGGTGGCGACCCTTGCTTCACACTTACACTTACACCCTCTTTGAGATTTTAAATGTCATCACATTAATTTCATATAAAACTTTATTTCGCAAAATATTCAATCCTCACCACGCGAGATAAATTGAGAAACAAATGCAGACAAAAAATTGAATGTGCAATAATAAACATGAAATAAAATAGAAATTTAAAATCACGAAGTAACAACGAGTATACAGGGTGAATCGCGCTTGCTACCGCATTTCTCATCACCCCGTGCGAGTTTGGATGTTCGTGGCTCGTTAGATGTGATTCCCAACCGCGGGCCCGCGGCTCCCCAAATGGGATACAGAGCCGTTTGAGAGGCCACTATGCTAATCGCAAAACTCATTTTACTCTCCACTTTACAAAACTACCCGCTCTTCCTGGTTTCATTGATTGATAAGGTTATTTCACTGAGTGTTTTTACTTTTTTGAGCATGAATTGTTTACCAACTATGGTATATGGAATCCACCAATCAAAATAACACAACACTTTAAATACCAATGAAATGATAAACAGGGGGAATGAATACTAAAACTATTCTCATACCCGACATGGACTGGTAAAATAAAATCCCTATTTATACTCATGAATAAGTTAACATGTAACTGCGACAGATATTCAAAATGCTATGGACACATTACTAAATGACAAGATTATAAGTTATATATGAAATAGTGGTAAATATTAAATTAAAATATTAAATTAACAAAAATGAAGAAATACGATGTGAAATCACTTGATTTGGTCAAAAAATATAAATATAAAATGTTTGTCCTTCACAAAGTCTGTAGATGGCGCTCATGAGCAAAGATATTATGGACGTTGCCAACTTTTCGTTTTACGCATAAGTCAGATGACTCAAAGGAACCGGAATCACGGACCTTTGTTGCGCGCTTTGAACTAATTTGAGGCAAAACTTTTTTGAATAAAATTATCTGTAACATGCCTTTGCTTAATTTGTGTTCCCGGCTTTGGGCGAATGGTTGAAACAAGAATATGAATTTGTATTTGCGGCAAAACCGCTTCGCGTGAAATGTTCCTACGGACAGCCCGATCATATTCATAGAGGGTATCTACTCTCAAGCTGAAACTTTATAACCAGTGTGGCACCATTCGCCCGATACTTTTCGATCCCCTCACGTCTTGGATATGACGTTTTATGTCACGGATCGGCGCATTAATGTTGACATTATGACGTCTCAATTAGAATCACTGAACCGTACAACTGGTTTTCAGTTTTTCCTTTCGTTTGTCTGCTTTCTTCTTCCGTTGCCTGTTATTCGTATTTAGACTGATATTTCGACTTTTTTCGAGTTCTAAAAGTTGCTGAAATAGTTCTTGGACGTTGTAGTTGTTTTTTGCTGAGGTTTCAAGGAACGGACAATGCCATGACCGAGCGATACTTTCGCCTTCTTTGGATGGAATACTCCGTTCTATTTCGTCACATTTGTTGCCTACCAACACTAACGGTACGTCATCCATTGAATGCTTCAGTGTTTTGATCTGCAAAAAGGGTTCGAATTTGTTGATTGGTGAACTTAAAATACAATTTGAATTCACGCTACCATAGGAAAAAGGAAGGCTACCGGGTATGGATAGGATATGAATCAAATATTTATCCCGGGGGAGCAGAAAGTCCATAAGACGGCTTAATCATATAGCGAACCACGACCTCTTGTTCAGTTACCAGACCAAGTCGGGTATAGGAATCGTCCAAATCTCCGGAGTCGTCCACAACTCTCCGGAGTCATACGTTTTTACAATTGGGAATCGGAGCTAGTGCCCGGTACTATAGGCGTAGCCAGGGGGAGGGGCTGAAGAGCACCCCTCCCTTCTCAAAAATATAAATAAATTGGGCAGGGTACGCTCATGGCCGATACCACAGCCATGATTTGTATATTATATTTGTTACATTCTCCTGCGATAATTGAGAAGCGAATTTCCGTTATATCAGCCGTTTCTCCAAACGGAAAGCCGGAAACATAATTGGATCATTATCTCAAAACTGGATTACCGTTTAATAAATCTCGGGATTATCGGGACGCATTTTTGGGACCGGGTCACTGCGGTAACGGTTACGTGATCTCATAGTTTATTTATTATTTTGGATTTTTACGCGTAGGATTTAGATATTAAAAATTAAATTATCTATACAGGAAGGGGTTGATAATCCTCGGTATTGTTTTTTTGGCATTTTCAGGAGAAGCGAATTTAACCATTACCGTTTTTTAATCATTGGATTTTCGGGACGCATTTTTTTAGGCGCAGTCACTACGGCAATTTTTTCAGGGTTACCGTTTCAGGGTACCGTTACCGTTTTTTAATAATGGTATTTTCAGAAAGTATTTGACGCGGTCACTACGGTACGGGTTAGGTGATCTCATACCTTTTTTTAATTTCTGCGTGTAGGATTAAAAAATAATTAGCTTTAAAAAGGATGGTGTTTCTCAAACTAGACTTTTCTCCAGCAATGTCGGGTCTTACTCTTTCCACCCTTGGCCCCATTTTAGCACTTGTCCCACTTGCAAATCTTTTCCCATATTTGAGGGTTAGAGGAGATATATATTGTTGAAAAAAATGTGGAAAATAAGCATACATTGGGACAAGTGTAGGACACGACAGTTTTGGGACACATCTCGCCGAGTAAATGTCTTAATATTTAGTGACATTTTAGTAATGGATTGCAAATTAGGCATCTTGCCTAAAAGTTTAATTTATTTCTCATTTTCGTAATGCCCTGTGGCATGAAAGCCTTCATAAAATTAATATGTGATCTAAATTTTTACTTAGGTCGGACCTCCTCATTAATTATTTAAAAGATTTTAATGAATTATTTCTAATTCCATAAGTATTCCGGGTTCATGGGGTCAATGACTTTAATTTGAGGTCGGGTTGAAAGAATTAATGTATACTGTTGCAAATATACAGTAAATAAACACAAGTTTTCGAAGCACCCATATCGAGTAGGCAGGCCTCATGGATACGGGAGTCAGAGAAAGTGAACACCAAATTTGAAAACCGACTTCGGCTTCGGCAGACAAAAAATTAGACTCCATGTTGAAGATAATTTCGACTTAAAAATGTTTGATAATGAAAACGATTTGACTTGTTTTTACAGTCTCCGGAATCATACACAAAATTCAAGAAAGTTGGTATTGTTTTGTAAGAATCGAAGATTCTGACCTGTTCATAAATCGGCAACAGCTCCTCCATCGACTGCCTTGATGTGATCGAATAAACTAAAATGAAGGCGTGGCCTCGTGTGATTGACAGTCTCTGCATGGCGGGAAAATGATGTGAGCCTGTTGTGTCCGTGATCTGTAATGTGCATATGTTCTTGTCGCAGTTGATGACCTGTAACAAAGTTGAATTTAATGTTATTATTGCATCATAATGTGAGACTCATTGTGCCACAGAAGCATAAAATTTGTATTTTTTTGTTAATAATTCATATAGTAAAATTGCGGGAAAACTTTGATACGGTTTTCAAAACACCAAAATTCCGCCCAATGGAAACCCAATTATTTTGAAACTTTTTGAGGAAAAAAATTTTCTTTGTATTTGCGTATAGCATCGCTAAAAATGGTTCACTTGTGGTATTATTGTAATGTATATTCATGCAAACATTATAAACCTTCCATATCCTACAAAATGCCAGCGTTTGAGTTGCGCGTGCCATAGCAAAAATGGCGGGAATCGTGGTACTTCTTACTTCTGAGTTAGGGTAGATATATATATCATCCGGCAAACGGATAGAGTAAGCGGATCCGTGGTATTCTCTGGGTTAATCTAATTCTAAAACCTCAGCAGTGGCTCCCAAGCGCGGACCAATCACGACCCGCGTAACGATTTAAAATGGCCAGCCGAACTCGATTAAAATAGTTTAACACTTTGCGTTCCAGATACGCAAATTGTTATGCCATTATTACGATTTAAGCACGTGTATATGTGTAGCAATTCAACTATACTGTTATCTTGATTATCGGCCGGCCTCTTGCGAGCGCTCCCTTCTCCTGGTCCTCAAATACCCTTCCCGCTTCTAATTTTGGCCCCGGTCAATTAACTTTGGAAACCAAAGACAAATTCAAGAAGTAAATACTAAATAGATAACGATTCGCGCAAATGGTTTTCTCGCAAATGGTACCAGCAGTAAAACAGTCTTATCCGCGTATGACCTTGGCTATGACACAAAATAAACATGGCATCGCTCCCTACATTACCACAAATAGACTATTTGGCGTCTACAGCCTTGAAAAATCTATACATCAATACATTCATATGAGGCAGCCTCTCAAGAGTACTGTTTAAAATAATCGTAAAAACTTCCCAATTTTAGAGTAATTTAAACCAGTGTTGTTGGGTAGGCGTACCTAAACACTGTAGAAGAGCTCGATCACCTTGCTAAGACGGAGAGTTGAGTTCTAGTAATTTCATTCAGGTGATCAGGTGACTTCAGTCCTCTCAATTCTTTCATAATTGGTGAACCGAACTCTAAGTAGACTCGCGAGTATCAGGGCGTTTATTCCACTGAGCCAGAAGCGTAGCCGGGATTTTTCAATGGGGGGAGGTTTCTAAAATGTATGATTGCCAAGATAGTTAGATCTTTGACTCGACACGATCCTTGCCAATATTATTTCAAACAAACTAAAAGTTTTCAGTCCTGTAATTTTAAATTTCGATTTTCCGTTGGTTTTAGCGATAGCTATCGGTTGTTGAATTCGTAAGACTACAGCTTCGCATGGGGTTGAATTTTAGTTTATCTTACGTGTTTTTTAACAGTATTACATAAATTTTCTTTTGACGCATGATTACAGTAACGATTTTTTCATGAAATATACTATAAATAGGGAGAAATCGGCCGAAGCTAAGCCATTCATAATTAGAACCTAAAATGGGAGGCATAATAACTGCCCCACGCTTGGACGGTGATAACCAGGGCTCAAAATGAACTTATATTTGCAACCTGCTATTAAATTGTATTTTTTAATATCTGGGGGGTGTCAAAATATCGACCCATTCCAAAATTTCGATTTTTTCCGCTGTATTAGCCAATTAGGTGTTAATTTGATGGCAGAAAACACACCCCTTTAATCCAGCCAATCAGAACAAAGCATGATATTAGAAGATAATAATTTTGTGTATTGATTAAGTTGGGGTGTTATCTTGTAATTGCATCGCCTCCAATTTTTGGCTTTGTTTTCTTTGATTCTCTTTATCTTAGATTAATATAAGTTATTGCTTTTGTTCAATGAAAGCTTTTCTAGAACATCTTGTTATTACAACAAGCGAGCAATGTTTAAATATATGGACACAACCTAACATAAGATGAATGGAATTAAAAAGAAAATAAAGCAGAAAATTAGTGGTGCAGTAATATTACTATATCGTTGAATTTGCTAATCGAAGCGCGCTTATTTATATAAAACACATTTTGCAGAATTGAAAATATAAAAAGCACACAGAAATAAGCTAATTTATCAATATTATAAAACCCATTCCACACGGCAATAAAACGAAAAATCTTTAAATAAACATCGCGCGATTTAGGCTACGCCCGCTTAGTAAATATTAAAATAATTAAAATTTCAAGGACGGCGGAAGATTTAGCCATACTGTTGAAAAATATCAGTAAATAGCGCTGGATTAGAAGTAAATCATGGATGGATTTTGTGAGTATATCAAGTTTCTACGCAACAAGCGGCTTTGGGAAATCTTTTTTAAACTTTGTTCTAAACAAGGTCTGTGCAGGCTTCCACTGATACGAATGGGGTCAAATCGGGGTGTAAGAAACTTTGTAGGCAATGCCGATTCCTTGAAAATACACCCCCCTCACATATCAGTGGATGCTAGCACAGAGCCCAACAGCGGTTTTACTTGACGAATATATGCTCTTATCGCTCCAAACGAGGCTTTGTACGTCATTGATACGTTGGAAAGCGTCACTAGGTGTGATAAATTGTTTTAGAAATACTGAACCAGTAAGATTCGGGAAAGCTTCTGGTAGTTCTGAAAGTAGTCTTTACAGAGCTGTCTACAGGTGTAATCTTGAGTATTTTAAAACCGAAAGATTCCCTATTATTCCAAAACTATTAGCTTATTATATATCCCGTGACTGCCGGTCCAAAGCCTTTTTCTGAGCGAAGATGCGCAAGAAAAATACTGCGTATGATGAATATAACCGTACAGATAAAAGCCATCAAAACCCAGTACAGGAGGATCATGTGTACGTCTTTCGAGTTGCTCAAAATTGTCGACATTTTGCTAATTTTTTCATAGTGGAGTGTAAATTCCAAATTGTGTCGTGTAACTGCCGCGGCATAGCTGTTCATTGTCGGCATTTGGTTTTGCAAAACTGGAAAATTTACGGTAGACAAATATAGACCACGGGACTTTTGTAACCTTTATATTGCGCAACAAGTATAACAACGAAAATTTTTGTGGTTAAAAATGAGCACATTTAAAGAAAAATTTATTCAGCGTAACGTTTCTGTGATGGTTTTTTTTTAAATTAAGCGTGTGTAAAACTTTCAAATATTCATATTAAGTGAGATTCATACAATTGGTAATTCAATGTTAGGGTAGATATCATACCTCGGCAGAAGGTTAAACATGCAATCGAGAAAAATACGCGACATGCCATTTTTGACACATCCCCGATCCCTGTTATGTACTTTCAATTTGCGTTTAACCAATGCCCTTAGCCGCACAATCAGGCCTTGTTTAGCCCTAAATAAACGTCTTCTGGAAAGTCCGCAATTTTGCAAAAATATTTGAATTCTATGTTTTCATTGTCAATCGTGCGTGAAATATTTGTGAAGCGGGGTTAAATCACTCGGCGAGTTCGTTGTGTCTGAACGAAAAAACTGTTGCAAAAATGGTGATTTTACAAAAAAAAACAGAAATTGCGAAAGTGATTCAAGAGTCTTGCTGCACACTAACACAAATTTATTTCTATAACGTTTCGTCTGACGAAAGCCAGACTTCCTCAGGCATACATAGTTCAACAGCGGTTAAATAAAATGAAAGGTCATTGATAAAATCTCTCTGTTTTATGTTTAACAATTAAAGTATAAATTCAACAATGATGTTATTTTGCTTTCTTCAAAGCCTAATTTTTTGTGTACGGTTCAAGAGTGAAATACTTATACTGTAGTATTGAATTTGTACCTAGTTTAATTAAGTTGATTTATTGGGGTCTGAATGATGTGCTTTGAGTAAATTTTGTATTTTTACAAAAGTTTTGAGACAGACCCGATCCCTGTTATGTACTTTCAATTTGCGTTTAACCAATATCCTTGACCGCGCGATTAAGCTTTGTTTATCCCTAAATAAACGTGTCAACGCAAAATGGTGATTTTACGAAAAAAAACAGTAATTTATAATATTTAAATATTTAAAAACAAAAATTATTTTAATTTTTATAAAACTTAATTTTGTGTGCCCGATGGACTCGATAATAATATACCTGTAGTATTAATAAGTATTATTATTCGGTCATCCGTTTCGTCTAAACGTGTTTTGAAAAGTCCCGCTTTCATTTTTAATTAAGTTGATTTATTAGAGTCTGGATGATATGTTTTTAAATGTGATTTGAGTAAACTTTGCATTTTTCATAAATTTTTTGAGACACCCCCATTTCTTGTTATGTACTTTCAATTTGCGTTTAACCAATATCCTGAACCGCACGATCAGGCTTTGTTTATCCCTAAATAAACGTGTTCTGGAAAGTCCACGATTTTGCAAAAATATTTGAATTCTACGTTTTCATTGTCATTCTTGCGTGAAATATTGCTAAAACGGGGATAAATCACTCAGCGAGTTCGTTGTGTCCGAACTAGGAAACTGCTGCAAAAAATGGTTATTTTACAAAAAAAAACAGTATTCCGATTATCTGAATATTTAGGAAAATTATTTTTGATTTTTTCCAAACCTTATTTTGGTATTCTCATATCTGAATGTTTTAATTATCTAGAATTCTGTCTTATATTTATTCTCGATATCGGAATTTTCCAAATAATTTATATTGCACCAAATCGCAATATAAGTTAAATTTTACTATAAAAGTCCATTTATACTAAAATCAAAGCAAAATGGAGAATTTTACACAAAAATACAGTGATTTTTATTTTCGGATTCTTGAAATAAATTTCAATTTGTCGAAAACCGAACTATGTTGGCATGTGTGCTTGAAAATGATACGATTATAGTATTAAATTCAGCATCAGATTTAAATATAAATTATACAAACGTCTATAACTGACATGTGAAAACTACAACCCGTGGGCCAAATCCGGCCCATTTGGTAAATTAATCTGGCCCGCCCGATGCTGCAATAACCAAACTAAAGCCAAATT